AGATGGGTCACTCACTCCGCCTCATCAGCCTGAGAGGGGAGGGAGCGGGAGCATGGTTGCAGGCCCTACCTTTGACCCCGGACCTTTGCTTCTCACCGGGACAATTCCGAGCAGCCCTGGCCTTCCGCATGGGCATCCGACAGAATGTACCCACTGTGTGCGAGTGTGGAGAACTCGTAGCCGACTGCAGCCTACCCAACCACCTACTCCGCTGCAGCACAGGCCCCGACAGGACACGCACACACAACCAGCTAGCTTTTGCCGTGGCTAAAATGGCAAGGGAAGCACAGCTGGTGGTATACCTGGAGAACGCCATGTACTCACCGCCGGATGACCCGAAGAAAGCCGATGTGATTGTACGCGACCCGGACAGTGGAGAGACTTGGATCACAGACACCACTATCACAGACCCCGTGCTGCAGAACCGGGACCCCACAGCCCGCAAACCCCCAGGCTGGGCTGCTAGAGAGGCACAGAGGCGGAAGGAGAGGGAGTACTACCGACACACGGAACACGTGGTGTTCTGCGCCCTAGCCGTCGAGACCTACGGGGCAAACGCGCCCACCACGACTGCGTTCCTGAAGCTGCTGGCCACAGCAGCAGCTAGGAACCGGTTCAGGGCCAACCCCCTGGCGAAATCGGCCAAGAAGATGGCCTGCCACTTCAGCCAGCGCTGGTCAATGGCCCTCCAGCGCTCCCAGGCTAATGCCCTGCACACCAAGGCCAGGGCTGGGATCGAGGCAGCGCACCCCCAGATGGCAGCGGACCCCTGGCCGCTGCACCTGGGGGACATCCTCCACACGCTGGAGGGCTAGAGGGTCACTCAGGGGGGGGGGTGAAGAGTGGTAAGTTTTGGGGCTTAAGGGATAGAGGTTATCATGGATAGCACCGCATGTTTGTACCCCTGCTGAATTAATACAAAGGACCGTTTGAGAGAGACGGTCGTACCGCAGCCGACGCCAGCGCGCCGACGAAGCGAAAACGAGACGGTCGCGGCGCCGCAGACAGGGCGCGAGGGAGCTGCTGTTGGAAGAGCAACGCGTGGAATCCGCGTAGGACGCGGCAGCCGCCACGGACGACGAGGTAACGAGAGAGGACGAAGAGGTGGTGGAACACGAGGTTCAAACAGGCGCGGCACAGGTGCAAGCGGCTACGCGAGAAATGCGGAAAGGCTGATGCGAAACGGCGCGGAGGGCGGCGAGGAACCGCTTAGCGAGGAGGCAGAGGAGGAAGTGGAGAATGAGGAAAGTGACGAGGGTGACCCTGCTTTTAACCCGGAAAGAGAGGGGATGTTGGGGGCAGAAGCTGAGGAGGACGAGGAGGAGTTGGAACTTTTGCTTCGAGGAGAGGAGCTCCCCAGCCCAAATGTCCGAGGCGAACCTGCCAACCGAACCACAGCTCAGAACCGAGCCGCGGGGGGAAATCACGCAAGGAGGGGAAATCGAGCCACGACAGAGACTGGAGTTGACTCTGCGACAGCCAATGAGAATTCAGCAGCCCCAATTCCGACCCCCCCAATGCTCAAACCCGACGACCTGGCGAAAAATATTGACCTGTTCGCCCAGGTTGCCGACTGGGACATTGGCCCGCTGCGAGACAGTCGCCAACCCCCAGTCGCCCGCCACCCTCCAAAAGACCTTCGCGAGTCTTTCGCGATTTGCCTGCTGACACCGTTACTCCACCTGGCAGCCAACCCCGAGTCAGAACCTGGCTGGATGTTACTCACCTTCCTCCCTCGCTTACTTCTTCGCTCCTCGTCAGCTCGTAAGCCTGACTGGAGCGCAATGATGAACAAGCTCCTGCGATTTCGCCAAGGGCTCTGGGCCGGCCTCTACGAAGAAGCTACCGAATCGATCTCCCTCCCCCCGCAGCCTCGCCACGCACCTGACACAACTGGAATTCTCGCCAGAGCGGAGGGCCTGGCGAAGCGTGGTAACCTCTCAAAATCGTTGCAATCCCTGCAAGCCACGCCCGTGTCGCCAGCCTCACCTGAAGTTCTCAAGGCCCTCAGGACGAGACACCCACCTGCATCCCAACAACTACCTGATTGGCTGCACGCTGCCACAGCGGAAAACCCTCCCGCTATCGAAGCCCGCGACTTCAGAAGGATCATCGCCAAGCTCCCCAATGGAGTGGGGGCGGGCCCCTCAGGAACTACCTTCGAACATCTCCGTGATGCAGCACTAGGAAACGCCGAAGTCTTCACCCACCTCCTAGCCCTCACCAACACGGCTCTGGCAGGGAAGCTACCAGCCGTTGCAGGAGAGCTACTTACCGCCTCTCGTCTTTTGGCCTTCACGAAACCGCACGGTGGGACGAGGCCGATCGCGGTTGGGGAATGCCTACTTCGGATCATCGCCAAAGCCGCTCTTTTCCTGATCGCGCCCGCCGCTAGATCTCACTTCGTCCCCCTTCAGTTCGGCGTGGCGGTAGCGGGGGGCATTGAGGCCGCTATACACACGGCACGTACTTACCTGGAGGTCCACCCCGCGGCAGTAGCGCTACAGATCGACCTCGCGAACGCGTTCAACGCGGTCGAGAGGAGAGCGGTGTTCGAAGGGTTGAGGAACGAAGCGCTCGAGAGCCTCACCCCCCTGGTCCGCCTGTCTTACGGAGTCCCCTCCTCGCTCTTCCTCGGCCATGAGTTCGCAGCGGCTCCACTGCAAAGCGCCAGGGGGGTCCGCCAAGGTGATCCCCTCGGCCCCCTTCTATTCGCCGCCAGCATCCACCCCTGCCTCGTTGCGACGGCCGCGGCTCACCCGCAGGTGGTCCTACTCGCCTACGCCGACGACATCACGCTGCTCGGTGATGCGTCTGCCTGCGCCGCGGCCTTCGACCACCTCACAGCCGCGCTCGCCTCCATGGGGCTCCTTCACAACCCTGCTAAGTGCGCGGCTTGGTCCGCCGCCCCAATTGACCCTGCCTCCGTCCCCCCCGGCATCACCATCTCGACTGAAGGGCTGCAAATCCTCGGCAGCCCCGTCGGCACAACGCAGGGCTGCGCCGCGGCAGTCAGGGACAGGCTTACGGCAGCAGCTGAACCGCTCCCGTTGCTAGCACAAATGGACCCGCAGCTCTGCCTCCTCCTCCTCACACGTTGCGTCAGCCGCCGCGCCTCCTTCCTGGCAAGGACAACCCCGCTGGAGGTCCTGCCCACAGCAGAATGGTCGGCATGGGGGGAGCGGCTGCTCCACGCGTTCCTAGAGGCCGCGCACATTGTCGCGCCAAGAAGCAACGCGGAAAGGAGGCGTATTTGGCGGCAGGCAGCGCTCCCCGTTACCTTGGGGGGTTTAGGCATTACGGACCCGGCCGTGGAAGGGAGTTACGCGTACCTCGCTTCGGTGGTCGGCGCGGCTCACCTCCTGCACTCGCTAGCCGACTCCCTACACCCCGCCATAGCCGCACTGCTCCCCCTTATGGACTCCGCCCCGGACTCCGCAGCAGCCCTGCCCTCGCGCCTAGCTGCAGCTGAAGCGGCCCTGCCCCCTGACGGCCTGGAGACCCTTCAGGCTGGTAAGAGCGACCCCAAGGGACTGAAGCTCCAGCAGTCCCTGGCCCTGGCGGTCCACACCCGCCGCTACCTCCGAGTGCTGAACACGGCGCGGCGTATGCGCCCAAACCCCCTCTCAGGGCATGCTCAGCGGATGCAGTCCCTGCTGGGCCCGGGAGCAGGGGACTGGCTGCTGGCAATCCCACTCTCTTGTGCGCTGAGGCTGGGCCCCTCCCAACACTCTACTGCTTCCTCCTTCCGCCTTGGCCTCCCCCTCCCTGTCCCAAGGCGGTGCGACTGCCGATACCGCACCACCTTCCCTGATGACCGCCTCCCGAATCACCTTATGCGCTGCGAGAAGGGGAAAGGGAGGACTGCCACACACCATGCTCTCAGGGATGAAATCGCAAGGATAGGGGCGGAAGCAGGCTTCACGGTTCACAAGGAGACCTATGCCTACTCTCTGGTTGAAAACCTTAAAGCGGATGTCTCCATCCGCCATCCCCTGACCGGAGAAGTGTGGCTTTGTGACGTGACCGTGACCGACCCAGTGTCCTTCCAGGACGAGAACTGCAACCGCGCACCTGGTTGGGCGGCTAGGGCGGCAGCTGCTCGGAAGGAGAAATATGCGGGACGGAATGCGTTGGTGGGGTTCCACGCCTTGGCCGTGGAGACCTACGGCTACCCGTCGCCGGGGCTTACCTGCGGTAGTGCGCGGAGCTGGCTGCGAAGCTCCGCTACAACGCGGCCCCTACCTCTCGAGAGGCTGCCAAGCTGCTGACGGAGTACCGCCAGCGCTGGAGCGTGTGCCTCCAGAGGGCACAGGCAAATGCCCTCCGCACCAAGACCAACGAGGCCCTGGAGGCGGACGAGCTTAGCCTGCAAGGGCCGTGGGCCCCTCTCAACGAGGGGCAGCTGCACCAGCTGATCGAGCCCCCGTCCGACCACTAGGGTCGGACAACGGGGGGAGGGGAGGGGAGTAGGTGATGGTTGATAGGTCTGCTTGTTTGCCTAGTTTGCATGTGTCTGCTTCAAACCTTTGTACCACCCTTCAGCTAATACACGGGCCATTCGAGAGAGAGAGAGGGGTAGGGAAGATGAAGGGGCAGGGAGCGAACAGCAGCGTCACCAGCAGCAGTGCCGCCAGCAGGGTTAAATGGCCTTACCTACTTACCGCACTATGATGCCTGTGAGGCGATGGGGGGAAGGAGAGGAGAGAAGGGGTAGGATGGTAGCAGGGTTGTGTTTGAGGAGGGACAACTGGAACAAGGGAAAGAGCCACTATGGATAGAAATACAGAGAGGCGTTACAAAAAAAAAAGTGGTGCTATCTTACTGTACTAACTATGTTGCCCTACATCAATCATACCCATGGCGATTGGAGCAGCGACAGCGAGCAGGCCTGGCAGCAGCAGCTCCTTGAGACTCACAGCCTCTGAGGCACCTTGCACACAGCACTCTCTGTATTGCACAAATCAGATTTCCAGTAGCAGTGCATCGATCGCACTCACCCATGGCGATTGGAGCAGCGACAGCGAGCAGGCCTGGCAGCAGCAGCTCCCTGAGGCTCACAGCCGCCACTGCACCCACGAAGCGAGATGGGTCATTCAGTACCATGGGCGCCCTCGGGTATGCCTGCTGGGAACCGGGTTGGTGGGGAAAGGGAGGGGAGGGTACATACGAGGATTCAGTTTGTGCGTGGACTCATGAGGCTCACTGCACAGCCGCCACTGCACCCACGAAGCGAGATGGATCATCCAGTACCATGGGCGCCCTCGGGTATGCCTGCTGGGAGAATGGGTTGGGGGAGAAACGGGAGGGAATGGGGAGAAGAAGAGATGATGGGGTGGCTGAGAGAGAGAGAGGACGAGTGGATGCATGAAAGAATATGGTAGCAGACAGAGAGTCAGCAAAAATAGAGGTGGATGCAGGTACTCCATGTCAGAGGGCCTTCCTGCGAAGTTGGGACAGGACAGCCCCCAAAAGTGCACTGCGGTGGTTCCAGCCTGGCAGCTCAAAAGATGCTTTCACGTGCTCACCAACTTCTGTGTGTGCGACCGTTTCGGCGTTCCACATCCCAGCGCCCCAATCAAAAGTCACTGCACGACTCCATCTACACTCTGCGATCGCATCCCATGGGGTTTGACGGCGAAGATGTTGAACTGTACTGGGCCATGATCGCATCCTGCCTTCGCACGTTGGGCTCAACCCAACTGCGACGTCCACATTCGTCCCCCCGCCACCTCATCACAATGCCCCATGCCTTGCACGTGCCATGTGCACTTTTCGCTGTCCCGACTTCGAAGTTGGGACAGCCCAGGAAGGCGATCTCAAAGACATACTCTAAATCTAAATTCACACATATATATATATACATATATATATATATATGTTATTGCGTGTTTGGAATCTAGTTATCAATGCTTCTGTAAGAGAATCGACCTTGACCTTACCATCCGCATTCTCTCCCAGAGCAATAACAGCATCTTTATCGCGCTATAAAGAGAAGAAAAAAAAGGGAAAACCCAAAAAAAAAGGCACGCTCTCTCCCCTCCCAGCATACCTTCTCCTCAGCTCGGTGGTGCAGGTGCTTCCTTCCCTCCCTAACCACAATGGCCGTGCACTGAATCACTCCACACATTCTTTATAAGAGCGCCGGCTATTCTCAACTTGCTTTTGAGTTGAGCCACCCCAGCATACCTTCTCCTCGGCTCGGTGGTGCAGGTGTCTGCGTCCCTCTCGCAAAACAATGGCCGTGCACCGCGTCACCCCAGAACCTGCCATCGCCACGCCTCCCACCACCACTGCCGCCCCCACCATGCACGCCACTAGCAGCTCTGGCCGCAGCAGGTCAATCTGGCGTTGGGATTGGGTGGGAGTGTGGGAAAAGGAAGGAGCAGCACTAATACGAATTGGATGGCTGAGTCACCCCACCTCCTGCCATCGCCTCCCAACACCACCATGCACGCCACTAGCAACTCTGGCCGCAGCAGGTCAATCTGGCGTTGGGATTGGGTGGGAGTGTGGGTCAGGGAGAGGAGCAGCATAATCATTTCTTGGACGGAAAACGGAGTCACTTTACATGCTGCCACCGCCACGCCTGCCACCACCACTGCCGCCCCCACCATGCACGCCACTAGCAGCTCTGGCCGCAACAGGTCAATCTAGTGTTTGATGGGGGAGTGTGGGAGAGGGAGAGGGAAAGGAGCAGTGCAATCATTGATTGGGCAGAAAGCGTAGTTTCTCCACTCCACATGGTGCCTTTGCCACAACTCTAGAGCACACTACCACTGCCGTCCCCCTCCCCCACCATGCACTCCACCAGCATCTCTGCCTGCAGCAGCTGAGTTGATTATTGAGGCGCCTTAAAAATCAACTCTAGAGCACACTACCACTGCCGCCCCCCTCCCACCATGCACTCCACCAGCATCTCTGCCTGCAGCAACTCTACCTCCGAGCAGGATGGGAAAGATAGGAGGCAAAAAAAAAAAGGAAAAAAAAAGAGGGATACGAGATAGAGAGGAAAGGATGGGTAGGGTAAGATGACAAATACGAGTGATCAGTCCAATAAGCCTGGCTGCAACTCACATGATACAGAGCTGTGCCAGTGTAGGAGGCGACAAGAGGCACAAAGGCATGTACGAGAGCACCGGAGAGCAGAGAAGAGCGAGGGGGCACCACACACACCCCATGGCATGTCAGACAGACGTCTCAGAACTCACATTGTGCAGTGCTGTGCTGGAGTAAGAGGAGACAAGGGCCACAAAGGCGTGCACAAGCAGCAGAGAGCAGAGCGAGGAGGCACCACACCCCATGCCCCGAGTAGCCGACGCCACAGCTGATGCTGCTGCCTCCAAGGGACTGACTGGCGTCCGTACCACAGCCGCTGCCGCTGCTGCCGCGGCCGCCGCTGCTGGCGATGCTGATGCTGAAGATGAGGGAGCGTAGGGAGGAAGCGCGGAGGATTGTAACGAAGATGACTGTAACGAGGATGAGGAGTCCCCTGTGCTGCCTGCTGCTGCAAACCCTCCTGCTGCCATCTCTCCTGTCGCTACCCCTCCACCTACCCCTCCCGTTGCTGCAGCTGCGTCTGAGGATACTTGTTGTTGCAACAGATGCGGTGATCCTCCTGCTGCTGCCATATGGTCTGAAGACATGCCGCCTCCGTCTTGCATGCCCATGCCATATGCGTCCATGCCATGTGATGGCATGCTGTGAGCTGCCATGCCATGTGCGTCCATGCCATGTGATGCCATGCTGTGTGCTGCCATGCCATGTGCGTCCTGCATCACATCATGTGCTGCCGGGCCGAGACTGAACTCCTGCATCTGCTGCATCTGCCCCTGCTGCTGCTGCTTCTGGTGCTGCACGTAGGAGAATGGGACGGGGGAGGAAACGGAGGTGAAGGGAGGGAAGAAGAGAGAGCGGGAGAGAACTCAAGGGAAAGTTAGTTCATCGGGAAAAAGGCAGGTAAGTATTAGGTACCATTGGAACAAGGTCGTGAGCATTAACCCACCCACGTGTGCCATCATTTTACATAGTAACCCAGCGTGTGAAACAGCGAGCTGAAACAAATCAGTGGTGAGGGAGAAGCACCCACTACTAAGCATCCCCATCACCGCCACAGCCAGCCCCAGCAACCCCCCTGCCGGCTCCCCCTTCCCATCCACCAGGCCCAACAGCCCCCCCACGGGCTCTCCCAAGTTTCCCCCTTTCACCAGCTATCAGGCCTATCCTCATCCACCAGTCCCCGTAACCTTGGTTGACCCCCACCCACCTGTGCCATCATTTTACACGTGTGAAACAGCCAGCTGAAACAAATCCGTGGTGAGGGAGAAGCACCCACTACTAAGCATCCCATCACCGCTACAGCCAGCCCCAGCAGAGTAAACCCCCACTCCCTCACCAGCAACTCCCTCTTTTCCCATCCACCACCCCCTTTGGTTGACCTCGTGTCCCCGACTCACCTGAGCCATCATTTTACACAGCAAGCCGGCATGCGAAACAGCCAGCTGAAACAAGTCAGTGGTGAGGGAGAAGCACCCGCTGCTGAGCATACCCATGACCGCCACAGCCAGTCCCAGCAGTCCCCCTGCCGGCTCCCCCTTCCCATCCACCAGCCCCCTTGGTTGACCTTGTGTCTCTCACTCACCTGTGCCATCATTTTACAAAGCAGGCCGGCATGCGAAACAGCCAGCTGAAACAGATCCGTGGTGAGGGAGAAGCACCCGCTGCTGAGCATGCCCATCACCGCCACAGCCAGGCCCAGCAGCCCCCCTGCCGGCTCCCCCTTCCCATCCACCAGCCCCGAATTCCGCCCCAGCCACACCGCCGCCGCCACGGCCAATCCCACGATGACAGCTGGCGGCGCGGCGGCGGCAATCCCGAGGGCGAGGCCGGAGGAGATGTTGGATGCGTGGCCGGAGGAGGAGGCGATTGCGAGGGAGCGGACGGGGGGGAGGTGCGGGGCGGAGAGGAGGGAGGAGGAGAGGAGGAGGAGGATGGAGGAGAGCATTCCGAGGAGGGCGCAGAAGAAGAAGTGCAGCCAGGCTAGAGGGGCCTGCTCCGTGAATAGCAACCACCTGGTCGCCTGGAAAGGGCGGGTTGTGAATGGGATGGGCGCAAATGGGAAAACAAAAGGGAAAGGTGGGGGAGCAAGGGGGGATACGTAAGGGCTGTGCTCATCTTAATATAGTCACCTGGTCGCCTGAGGGTTGATTTGGGTGGGTAGGGACGAGAGAGGAGCATTGGGAGGAGGATGGAGGAGAGCATTCCGAGGAGGGCGCAAAGGAAGAAGTGCAGCCAGGTGTTTTGGTGCTGTGAGCAACACATACAGTGCCCCTCCGTGATGCAACAAGCAACCCACTTACCAGGGCAAAGGAGGAGACAGCGAGCACAAGCGAGAGGGCATATCCGTTGAATACACACCCCACCACCTCCTCTGCTGCTGCGGGCAGCACAGCACACCATACCAGAAACACCCATACAGAGCCCCCCCATTCAGGGGCTACAATGGGAGCCACTTACCAGGGCGAATGATGAGACAGCGAGCACAAGCGAGAGCGCGTATCCGTTGAATATACACCCCACCACCTCCTCTGCTGCTGTGGGCAGCACTGATCCCCGCACCATGGGCGAGCGGGGAGAGGAGCGGAAGAGCGGCGAGTGCGAGGAGAAGGGGGAGGAGGAGGAGGAGTAAGAGGAAGAGGAGTCGACGGGGAGAGAGTGAGGGAGGCGGGAGGAGCCAGCAGCAGCAGAGACGGAGAGTATGGCTGCGGCTGATGTGAGGAGGTCGAGAGAGAGCACCACGAGGGGCAGAAGGATGAACCCTGTTGGGTCTGGATTGGTAAGGAGAGGGGAGGGAGGGAAGGGAGGGGGGGGAGGGCAAGGAGGGAGGTGTATGTAAGGTCGATGATGACATGTGTGGGGCCTGGCTTTTGAGGGGCCTCAAAAGTTGTGAGGCGCCTCAAAAGGTGCATGTAAGGTCGATGATGACATGTGTGGCGCCTGGAGTGGGAGAGTGTGAAGCAAACGAGTGGAATGGGGGGGAAATCAGGGAAGGGCAAAGAGTGAAAGAAGTGCTGCAAGGGAAGCAAACCTACTGTCGATGGCGCAGTGCTGTGCCACATGCGCCCCCAGCACCATCGACGCCACCGCCAAGGCAAATCCTGAGTCGCTTCTGAGATTAATCAAAAGCAAAGGCAAACCTACTGTCGATGGCGCAGTGCTGTGCCACATGCGCCCCCAGCACCATCGATGCCACTGCCTCCGCTGCAGCCAGGCAGAACGCCTCACACGCCCTCGCTGCCCCCCTCGCCATGCCCACCCCCACCTGCTCTCCACGGACGCATGGAGAAAGATACGAGGGTGGGGGTGAGAGGGAAGAAGACAGGATATATATATATATATATATATATATATATATATATATATATATATATTTTAGGCAACTTGATGCAGGGGGTAATACAGAGAGGAGGGAGGAGCGAGAAGCGAGTTTTAACGACCCTTCAAAATAGGCCTTAAGAAAACAAAACCTCGAAAACAGACCCACCATGTCAGCAACAGCAACAACATTGGCGCCCCCTCCTGCCGCCTCAGATGCGCTTCTGTCCATCCTCGATATAAGCTTGTGGCCCAGAGCCAGGGAGCGGGAGAAGATGGACGGCGGGAGGTGGTAGAAGAGAGACACCACTGCCGCCCCGAAACAGAAGCAGACAAGCAATGCCGGCACTGCGGTGGGAGGGGTGAGTAGGGGGAGGATGGAGGGAAGGTGAGGTACGGAGGAGAGGATAAGAGGCAGAATCAAGATGAGGCAAGAGAGTGAAGTTGCGTAATATTTTCGGCTTTTCGCTGCTTGCTTACAATCAGTGGGCTTAAGGCCTGCTGAAGCCATAGCCGAACCCGCAGTAGCGGCCGAGGCAGCAGTGGCGGAGAGGCCCCCCTCCCATCATGCATATCAAGCAAGCACAAAGTCAACACAGGAAAGCCGTTTCTTTGTGCTTACAATCAGTGGGCTTAAGGCCTGCTGAAGCCATAGCCGAACCCGCAGTAGCGGCCGAGGCAGCAGTGGCGGAGAGGCCTCTTCGTTTTTGTGCAGCGAGGGAGGCGGGGAGCGGGGCGAGGTGCATGTGGAAGAAGGCGAGCAGGGCGCTGTAGTTGATGCCCATCCCCACCACCGGCACCGCCGCCACCACCAGCGCTGCTGCTCCCGCTGCACGAATCGCCACCTGTGGGTGGGGAGCGGTTGAGAACGATACGCATGGGAGGGGTTGACAGAACCATATGCATGGGGTATTGTGCAAGAAAGGAAGAAGAAGGCGAGCAGGGCGCTGTAGTTGATGCCCATCCCCACCACCGGCACTGCTGCCACCACCAGCGCTGCTGCTCCCGCTGCACGAATCGCCACCTGTGGGTGGGGAGCGGTTGAGAACGATACGCATGGGAGGGGTTGACAGAACCATATGCATGGGGTATTGTGCAAGAAAGGAAGAAGAAGGCGAGCAGGGCGCTGTAGTTGATGCCCATCCCCACCACCGGCACTGCTGCCACCACCAGCGCTGCTGCCCCCGCTGCTCGGATTGCAACCTGGGGATGGGGAGGGTTGTTGCGTTAACTTGTGGTAGCCCTTGTTGCGTTAACTTTGTGGTAGCCCTAACTCGGCTTCCAGTCATTCTCTCTCTTGCCTACCTCCACAACCTCATTTTCTCCCCAACCCCTCACTCCCTTTCCTTTCTTGGAAAATTCCGAACGCACCATTTCTTGGCCTCTGCCTACAGTTGATTTTTTAGTGTGGTTGTGCTGCCGTCAAGACAGGGACACGAGTGGGTTCTGGTTTTCTCACCTGAAGGGCCTCCTGAGGGGATCGCCTGGCAGCAACAGCAATCCTGGCAGCAGCCGGCACGGACAACTAAGGGTGTAAACAAATACCACTGTATTCGTATTAGTATTCGATATTCGACAAATATCAAATACAAATCAAATACAAATGCCCCTTACTATTCGAAAGTATTCGACGTTCAAGTATTCGAGTATTCGGTTTAGATAACCGGTTATTCGAATACATATTCGATTCGTTCTTAAGTTACTGAACCACTCAAACCAGCCGCTATTATTCACGAAATCTTGAGTAAACAATACAAAGGACTCTACAGAACGGCCGTCAGAGCCATGCTAACTGAGCAAGGGGCCAATGAGTTAGAGTAAAAGGGTGTGAATGATACTTCAGTATGCATTTAAGCCCCACCGTGAATCATGAGATCCTTGTTTGAGCTACAATATGCTATTCGAAACCGTATTCGACACACCATGTATTCGAATCGTATTCGAATTCGTGGAGGGACAGGTATTCGAACAAATACAAATACAGCCAGGTATTCGACAATTATTCGTTTTAGATAACCGTATTCGAATCCGTATTCGTTTTTACACCCTTACCGGACAACCACACAGCAGCGTGTGCAGCAAGAGTCATGCAGAACCCTCCCAGGAGGAAGGCGAGGAGAGAAGCGAAATGACAATGCCTTTGTTCTTTTACCTGAAGGGCCTCCTGAGGGGATCGCCTGGCAGCAGTGGCAATCCTGGCAGCAGCCGGAACAGACACCCACACAGCAGCATGCGCGGCAAGGGCCATGCAGGACCCTCCCAGGAGGAAAGAAGGAGAGCAGCGAGACGACAACATGCGTTTTTTTACCTGAAGGGCCTCTTGGGGGGATCGCCTGGCAGCAGTGGCAATCCTGGCAGCAGCAGGCACGGACACCCACACAGCAGCGTGTGCTGCAAGAGCCATGCAGGACCCTCCCAGGAGGAAAGAAGGAGAGCATCGAGACGACAACATGCGTTTTTTTACCTGAAGGGCCTCTTGGGGGGATCGCCTGGCAGCAGTGGCAATCCTGGCAGCAGCAGGCACGGACACCCACACAGCAGCGTGTGCTGCAAGAGCCATGCAGGACCCTCCCAGGAGGAAAGAAGGAGAGCATCGAGACGACAACATGCGTTTTTTTACCTGAAGGGCCTCTTGGGGGGATCGCCTGGCAGCAGTGGCAATCCTGGCAGCAGCAGGCACGGACACCCACACTGCAGCGTGCGCGGCAAGAGCCATGCAGGACCCTCCCAGGAGGAAAGAAGGAGAGCAGCGAGACGACAACATGCGTTTTTTTACCTGAAGGGCCTCTTGGGGGGATCGCCTGGCAGCAGCAGCAATCCTGGCAGCAGCAGGCACGGACACCCACACTGCAGCGTGCGCTGCAAGAGCCATGCAGGAGCCTCCCAGGAGGAAGGAGAGCAGCGAGACAAAGGCGAGCAGGGAGCGGTGCACCCCGGTGGCCTCCTGCTGAGGTGAGAGCTGGTGGGAGAGGTGGATGAGCGCCACCAGCATGGTGGCCACTAGCACCGCCTTGGCTGCTGCTGCTGTCACCGCTGCTCGGAGAGTTGAGGCCCCTCTTTGGACGGCTGCTGTCACCTGGTGGGGGCAGGAGAAGTGAAGAGAAATGACAAGGAGTGAAGAGGAGTGAGGTGGCATGAGGGAAAGGTTCAGGGAGGGAGAGATGAGGGAGAACGGTGCACGCCGGTGGCCTCCTGCTGAGGCGAGAGCTGGTGGGAGAGGTGGATGAGTGCCACCAGCATGGTGGCCACTAGCACCGCCTTGGCTGCTGCCGCTGTTACGGCTGCTCGCAGCGTGGACGCTCCCCTTTGGACCGCTGCTGTCACCTGGTGTGGGCAGGGAGGAGCGCACGAGGGGTGACGAAGACTGAGACGACTTTTGAGGCGCCTCAAAAGTCGCAGCGTGGCCGCTCCCCTTTGGACCGCTGCTGTCACCTGATGTGGGCAGGGAGGAGTGCAAGAGGGGTGACGAGGACTGAGGAGGAAATTTTTTAGTCGACTCAAAAATAGGATGCCCCCCGCTGCACTGCTGCTGTCACCTGGTGTGGGCAGGCAGGGAGGAGCGCAAGAGGGGTGGCGAGGACTGAGGAGGAAATGGGAGTGGCTAACGAAGGGAGGGAGGAGAGAGGGAGCAGCGCACGCCCATGACCTCCTGCCGAGGCGTGATGTCTAAAACAAGAAAACAAAAACATACTGAAAACGAAATTGCTAACAATGTGAAGACAGTGTGAGTGAGTGACCACGACGTGTGGGAGGGAAAGGGGGTGAGGCAGACAAAGAGCACAACAAGCAGGTTGACAGGGAGTGAGGAGGTCTCGAGCTGCTCCTCATCCCCATCCCCCAACCCAACCCCCACAACCACCCCCACCCCCAACCCACCTTTGGTCATCATATTTGGTCCGCATCCAGGAGCCGAGCAGCCAGGGGAGCACGGGGACAGGAAGTGCAAAGAGGCAAAGAGCCAGGGGAGCACGGGGACAGGAAGTGCAAAGAGGCAAAGAGCCAGGGGAGCACGGGGACAGGAAGTGCAAAGAGGCAAAGAGCCAAGGGAGCACGGGGACAGGAAGTGCAAAGAGGCAAAGAGTCAGGGGAGCACGGGGACAGGAAGTGCAAAGAGGCAAAGAGCCAGGGGAGCACGGGGACAGGAAGTGCAAAGAGGCAAAGAGCCAGGGGAGCACGGGGACAGGAAGTGCAAAGAGGCAAAGAGCCAGGGGAGCACGGGGACAGGAAGTGCAAAGAGGCAAAGAGCCAGGGGAGCACGGGGACAGGAAGTGCAAAGAGGCAAAGAGCCAGGGGAGCACGGGGACAGGAAGTGCAAAGAGGCAAAGAGCCAGGGGAGCACGGGGACAAGAAGTGCAAAGAGGCAAAGAGCCAGGGGAGCACGGGGACAGGAAGTGCAAAGAGGCAAAGAGCCAGGGGAGCACGGGGACAGGAAGTGCAAAGAGGCAAAGAGCCAGGGGAGCACGGGGACAGGAAGTGCAAAGAGGCAAAGAGCCAGGGGAGCACGGGGACAGGAAGTGCAAAGAGGCAAGAGCCAGGGGAGCACGGGGACAGGAAGTGCAAAGAGGCAAAGAGCCAGGGGAGCACGGGGACAGGAAGTGCAAAGAGGCAAAGAGCCAGGGGAGCACGGGGACAGGAAGTGCAAAGAGGCAAAGAGCCAGGGGAGCACGGGGACAGGAAGTGCAAAGAGGCAAAGAGCCAGGGGAGCACGGGGACAGGAAGTGCAAAGAGGCAAAGAGCCAGGGGAGCACGGGGACAGGAAGTGCAAAGAGGCAAAGAGCCAGGGGAGCACGGGGACAGGAAGTGCAAAGAGGCAAGAGCCAGGGGAGCACGGGGACAGGAAGTGCAAAGAGGCAAAGAGCCAGGGGAGCACGGGGACAGGAAGTGCAAAGAGGCAAAGATCCAGGGGAGCACGGGGACAGGAAGAGCAAAGAGGCAAAGAGCCAGGGGAGCACGGGGACAGGAAGTGCAAAGAGGCAAAGAGCCAGGGGAGCACGGGGACAGGAAGTGCAAAGAGGCAAAGAGCCAGGGGAGCACGGGGACAGGAAGTGCAAAGAGGCAAAGAGCCAGGGGAGCACGGGGACAGGAAGTGCAAAGAGGCAAAGAGCCAGGGGAGCACGGGGACAGGAAGTGCAAAGAGGCAAAGATCCAGGGGAGCACGGGGACAGGAAGTGCAAAGAGGCAAAGAGCCAGGGGAGCACGGGGACAGGAAGTGCAAAGAGGCAAAGAGCCAGGGGAGCACGGGGACAGGAAGTGCAAAGAGGCAAAGAGCCAGGGGAGCACGGGGACAGGAAGTGCAAAGAGGCAAAGAGCCAGGGGAGCACGGGGACAGGAAGTGCAAAGAGGCAAAGAGCCAGGGGAGCACGGGGACAGGAAGTGCAAAGAGGCAAAGAGCCAGGGGAGCACGGGGACAGGAAGTGCAAAGAGGCAAAGAGCCAGGGGAGCACGGGGACAGGAAGTGCAAAGAAGCAAAGAGCCAGGGGAGCACGGGGACAGGAAGTGCAAAGAGGCAAAGAGCCAGGGGAGCACGGGGACAGGAAGTGCAAAGAGCACGGGGACAGGAAGTGCAAAGAGCACGGGGACAGGAAGTGCAAAGAGCATGGCAGCAGCGGCGACGAGGAAGACGGGGATGAGCACCGGGGAGGTGAGCGAGGCCAGCAGGAACGCCAGCAGGAAGGGCGAGCAGGCAGACGAGCAGCGGGGCTAGCAGGAAGGCGAGAAGGTGGGCAGAGAACGCATGGGCCTTGTTGCTATCCCTGAGAGCCAACTCACCTGTCTGAGGGTGTTCCCGCCGTCATCCCTGGACCGCACCCAGGAGGCGAGTAGCGAGGCAAAGAGCACGGCGGCAGCGGCGAGGAGGAAGACGGCCAGTGCCATCCCAACCCACAAGCTTCCCCTCCCCCTCCCCCCACCTAAACCTAGACTAACAACCCACCTGTCTGAGGGTGTTCCCTCCATCATCCCTGGACCGCACCCAGGAGGCGAGCAGGGAGGCAAAGAGCACGGCCGCAGCGGCTAGGAGGAAGACGGGTATGAGCACCGGGGAGGTGAGCGAGGCGAGTAGGAACGCCAGCAGGAAGGGCGCTGCTACCAGCAGCCTCGCCACCTTTATTCCACGGAACAGGTCAGGACTCTGGGAAAGGGGGTGGGAAGAAGGGGGGTTATGTTGTGGGAAGGGGGGTGCAGGTGATAAGCAACGGTGAAGCTGGCAGAAGGCTATTTGCAAGAAGGGCGACGCTACTAGCAGTCTCACCTCCTTTATTCCACGGAACAGATCAGGACTCTGGGGAAGGGGGTGGGGAGGGGACGGGGAAAAGGTGAGAGAAGGTCAGGGTTTTTGGGGGACTGGGGAGGAAGAGTGGGGGGAGGGCGGGAGGGGAAGGGCAAGGGGGAAAAAAACAGCTAGCCGAACAGCATGAGTGAAGCGGAGCGAGCTAAGGAGCTAGGCGGATCTTACGGGCAATCGAGAACGAAAACAATGGGCACTCAGAAAAGGAAAAACTGGTCGTAAAATGGATCAGAAATTCCAAACAATAAAGATTCAGGGCGGGGAGGGGAGAGCACTGACGAGGTCGGGCACCACCACCACATGCTGCGCTAGACTGTCCTCGAACGGCGTCCGCGCCATGGGCTGACTCGTTTATAGGCGCCGATAGAGCAGGCCTGGGTTGAGCTACCGTCAAGTGCGGACCAATCAGCGGCTGCTCTGAAGGGGTTTGCGGTGCTGGGAGAATGTTGATTTGGAGGAGGAAGGGAAGGGGATGGGGGAGGAGGAGGGGGAGAGATGGAGAGGGGTGAGGTTTGGGGAGGTTGCAGTCATAATCCACCAGGTCAGCAGTCAGGTTATGAGGCCATGGCAGATGCTAACGTTTGCGAGAGTAGCGACTCTTGAATAGGAGCTGGGTAGAAGAGGTGTAGGGTTGACTCAATGAGACCTGGACGTACGAGCTGCAGCTTGACGGCCTACATCCGCGTTGTGAGTTCGCTCACGAATAAGGCAAGGACGTTCACGCCTCGCAGCTGCATTCACGCACTCGCATTCTCGTATTCGCAATCGCATTCTTGCAATCGCATTCTCGTATTCGCGATCGCATTCTCGTATTCGCAATCGCATTCGCTTATTCACAGTCGAATTCTCGCAATCCATTCTCGTATTCGCAGTCGCAATCGCATTCACGTTCTCTCAGTCGCCAGCCTCACAGTCGCATTCTCGCAATCGAATATTCGCACTAAGCCATTCCCGCACTCGCGATGGGGAGTCAATGCCACCATTGTCAATCTCACCTGTAAATTAGGAGGTGAGCGGCACGGTAAGCTGTCAATCTCACCTGTAAATTAGGAGGTGAGCGGCACGGTAAGCTTCAGATGTATCTAATATGGAATCGCAACATTCGGATTCGACAGCGCGCGGCCATGGTAGGTGAAGCGTCCCGTTGAAGCCCCTGAGTAGGTGCCAGTCTCACTCAACTCCTGATTTTGTTTTGCTGCTCAGGAAGCGAAGTGACGTGAACACCCTTGTTGCTGCTTGCGACAAAATCGAGGGAAGTGTTCGGTAGAGGATAACTCGAATAACTGACGGCTTTAGTATGTGGAAACAATTGGAGTTTAGAAAAACAAGCCTGCTATGTGATAGTTTTAACAATGTTTGCTTTCAGCACAAGTTCACAATACAAGCAGGCGATTCATGTCAATTCCTTATAAACAATAAACCACAAGCATCTCCTGAAAGCATCACCCGATTGCTTGCCATCCACGTTCACAGGCAGAAGAAACCCCGACACCACATGAAACTTGAGCACTTGCAGTTTCCTGCCCTTGCAACCCAGGTGATTACTTTTCCTTGTAACCAGCAGTCTCCCTCTCACAACCGAACCCAGTGTACCACCACCACAGTGTTGCGAAATAGTAGAAATTCGAAAAAAGTAGAAATTCCTTACCGCTATTCCAGCGGTACTCTGCATCAACACCTCTTCTCATCCATCTCAACTTAAATCCCCTCCCCAGTCCCCGCTCTTCCTTCCCCAACGCTCCCTCTCTCTCCTCTCCCCCTCAACCTCAACTTCCTCCAAACTCTTCCTGTGCCTCCCCCTTCCATTCACCAATAGCATCCTCACCTCACCATGCAAGAAACATCTTTCTACCGTAAATTCCATAGCCATTCCACTTAAAGCCTTTGTCACTCCACCCTTCCACTCAAAAAGCCCCATCCTTACCTCACGGTTCGACATCAAGGTAATCTGCATCGTCCACCTCACTCCATATTCCAGCCCTCTTCCCCATACCCCTCGGCTTCCTTGACTTACCTCGCCCTCTTGCTCTCCAAGGCCATTTCGCCTGCAGCCCACAGTGCATATCCGCACAAGAACCTGCTAATGAGAATGTGTGGCCCCTTCACCTGCCACTCCTCCACCATCCATCTCCCCCATTCGTCGGGGGTTCTTCACTTTGGCACCGCAGTGCCGGCAGCAGAACCGAGCGTGCCGCACATACATGTGGAAATGGTCCAAACTCACACACGCATGGTCGGAACCCCCCTCCCCTTGCTGCCACTGGCTCCTCCTTTAAATCTCATCTCTCCCCACTCTTCCAATCCCAGTAACTTCTGCCCCCGAATTCCCGTCCTCTCCCTCTCTGCCCTCCTCTGCCTCTCTTCCCCCTCCTGCCCCTGCCCCTGACTCTTCCAGTCACCGCGGGTTTTTCACCTTGGCACCGCAGTGTCGGCAGCAGAACCGGGTGTGACGCACATACATGTGGAAATGGTCCAGACTGCCACACGCGTGATGGGAAAACCCCTCCCTCCCCGGCGCCTGCTTGTCCCTAAACCCCACGCCGTGCCGCCCGCAGAATCCAATCGCCTTCACCTCGGGCAGCTGCAGCAGACCGGGCGGCAGATAGTCCAAACCGCAGCCGTCCACCACGAGAATGTGCAGACGGGGGAGTGCGCCGCCCAAGACTCGGTTGGTGGTTCTAGTAGCTGCCCCAGCGGCAGTAGTGGCGGTGGTGGTGGCTGTGGGTGTCGCGGTGGGGGTGGCAGTCGCAGTGGCAGTAGCAGTAGTGGTGGTGGTAGCTGTGGTGGTGAGAGACGGAACGGGGATGCTAGAATTCACAGCAGTGGTGGTGGTAGCTGTGGTGGTGGCAGGTCTGGTTTCTGTGAAGGGATTCGGGTTTGATTCAGCCGGAGCATTGCTGCTGGGAGCGCAGCTGCTGGGAGCACTGCCGAACGCACTGCTGCTACTGGGAGTGCTGCTGACAGCACTGCTTCTGCCTTGATCCTTTGCTCCTCCTCCACCTGCTGCCGCGCCGCTGCCACCTGCTGCTGTGCTAGCTGCACCATCTGTGCCGAACCTGCTTCCACCCAGGCCAAAGGCCGCACTGAACGAAAAGAAACTGCTGATGGGGGTAGCGCTGCTAGTGGATGCTGCAACAAGAGCCCTTGCTGGTGGTGGTGGTGGTGGCGGCGGTGGTGGTGGCGGTGGTGGCGGTGCAGTGGTAGGTGCTGCTGCTGCCGATGTGGCTGCTGCTGACGTGGCTGCTAGAGGAGTGACTGCTGGCGAGACAAATGCAGGCACGAAATTCCCAGCACCAAGCGAAGCAGAGGCAGGCGGAGGTGGGGGGATGCCAGACAGCAGAGGGTTGCAAGCAGCTGACGGGCTGGACGACGGAGGAGGAAGATTGAAGGACGCAGGGGACGGCCCAGGAGCGGCAGAGAGGCGCAGGGAGGAGTAGAGGCCGTGGGGGAAGGAGTTTTCAAAGTAGGCGAGCAGAGGCGGGCTGCCGGACAGCCATCCCTCGAGGTAATGCAGGTGGGAGAGGCGCGAGAGCACCCTCTCGTAGTGGTGGAGATGGCGTGCCGGCCTGCACGATGCTGCTGATGATGGTGATGCGGAAGATGATGGGATGTGTGGGGGTCGGAAGGACGATGCGGTGGCTGTGGATGTGGATGTGGTGGTAGGGAAGGGGAAGTGCACGGGAGAGTCATCGTCCCACGTCTCCTCTTCGTCCTCTGATCCATTGCCCTCGTCCTCATCCCCATCATCAGTCTCACTCTCCTCCTCTTCCTCCTCGTCACTCACGTAACTCTCGTCATCCTCCTCGTCTGAAGAATCTCCCTCAAATTCATCGTCATCATCATCTATCGCTGCTTTCCCCACCCTCCTCCTCCCCATCCCACTCCCCTCCCCTCGCCCCGCTCCCTCCATCCCTCCCCCTCTCACTCTCCTCCATCCCGCACCAGCCCACCTCCGCCTCTTCCTCCCCCCCTCCCTCTCCCCCTCTGCTCCCTCCAGCCCAAACCCAAGGTCGTCTAGAGCAGGGCAATCCGCTACAATCAGCTCCGTTAGGGTTTCCCACTGCTTCAGGGCGTTGGGGGGGAGGGAAGCCAATCGCCAGCAGTCGTGTATCACCAGGCACTGTAGCACGGGCAGGTTCGCCATGGAAACGGGCAGCTCTTCCAGGCGCGGGCAGAGCGATAGGCCAAAAACTTTCAGCGCGGGCAGCTGCCCGAGTGAGTCGGGCAGGCGTTCGAGGGACGGGAGCTTGAGCAGGAGCAGCGTGTCAAGGGCAGGAAGCTGCCCGAGGTCTTCGGGCAGGGAAATGAGCGAAGCACAGTCGGAAATTTCCAGGAAACGGAGAGAGGAAAGGGTGGCGGAGAGGTGTGGAGGGTTGGTGAGAGGGAGGGTTGGGTCGTGGAAAGAGTACGGCCCTGGAGCAGCAGCAGCAGCAGCAGCGGCAGCAGCAGCAGCAGCAGCAGCAGCAGCAGCAGCAGCAGCAGCAGCAGCAGCAGCAGCAGCAGCAGCAGCAGCATAAGAAGGTGACCTGGTTGTGTTGCTGGGTGTATTGGTGTTGGGGGCTGCGGGCGCAGTAAGGCCAAACAGCGTGCTGACAGCTGATGCATGAGCAGCATCAGCATGAGCATCAGCAGCAGCACCTGCAGAAGTCGAAGCATCTTCAAGAGACAGCTCATCCAGTGACCTATGCCGCTCACGCCGCTCCAACCAACCGAATCCACCCGAACCTCCCGCCCTCAACCCGCCAGCGTTCCCGCCACCAAGACCCAACGCAGAGGACGCAACGCGGAAGGGCGGCAGGGTGGTCAAATGCCGGGCGCCATTCACGCACAGCCGCTCCAGCCCCGACAGATGCGCCCAGGACTCAGGCACCTCCCGCAACGCATCGCACCCCTCCACCTCCAACACTCGCAGACCCCCCAGGTGCCCTATCGACTCTGGTAACCCTACCAGACTCGGCAGCTGCTTTAACTCCATACTCTCAAGCCTCACCAGACACCCTATGTCTTCGGGCAGACTCGCTAGCCTCTCGCATCGGACAACTTCTAGGGTTACTAGGGCTGTCAGCTGCGCTGTGCCGGCCGGAAGAAGCTGTAGCGCGCTACAGTCGCTCAGGCGGAGGCGGGAGAGGCGGGAAAGCTCGGCGAGCGAATCCGGGAGGGCGGTCAGCGCAGCGCACTGCGACAGATGGAGTTCCTCGAGATTGGATAACCCGCCTAGGGAATCCGGGAGGCATGTGAGGCGCTCCGATTCCAGTTTGAGCACTCGGAGGGTTCCCACGCGGCCTAGGGTTTCGGGAAGCATCAAGAGGTCGAACGCGTTGATCTCGAGGTGCTCCAGCGCGGGCAGATCGCCGATGGACGGCGGGAGATGGTGGAAGCAACGGCTGGAGATGCGGATGGTTCGGAGGGAGGAGAGGAGGGAGAGGTTGCAGTGAGTGGAGGTGAAGCGAGAGAGGGTGCTTACAGATGGTTGACCTAGGTGCTCACTTTGACCGAGTTCTAGGGCTTCGAGTTGTGTTAGGAGGTTGACGGTGGGCGGGAGGGCGGAGACGCGGCGGTAGGAGAGGAGACGGATGACCTGGAGCCGCGGGCAGCCGCGAAATAAATTGGACAGACCGGCTTCGCTGAAGCGCGTGCGTTGCTGGTAGCCTACGTGGAGGAGATTAAGATTGGGACACGTCACGCCTAATCCGCAGAGGAGCAGGTCATCCGCGTCATAGACGGTTCGGTCGGCGACTATAAGGTGGGTAAGCAGCGGGAATCGCGCGAGCGACTTAAGGAGCTTCTGCGTGGAAATTTCGTGTGTCACGTGGACGTAGGTGCGGCCTAGGCAGGATAGTTGGTACCAGCGCTTGCAAACTAAGGCGTGGTCGAAGGAGCGGCGCGTGACGTAGTGTAGAACGCGAGCTAAGACATCGTCAGGTAGGTCGTTAAGAGGGAACGGCTGAGTGCAGGCGAAAAGCCGCAGCGAGGTGGAAGGGAAAAAAGAGCTCCACATGTTGGATTGGACGTGCCTCCTAATTAGGGTTTGAATAGGCAGCCTACCAAGGTAGGAGCCGGGACAAGTGATTGTGCTAATGCTTGGAACATAAGTCAGGAGCTTAAACTGGACGCAACTAACGATCCGCACGGCAAGAAACCGATGCTTCGACGAAAAGCACGTGCCATGGTGAGGGGGTAAGGTGCGAGCTTCGCACAAACAAAGCCACACTCGTGGGTAGTGGGTCACTACTAATTGGAAATTCCACCTCGATGCATATAGGGTGGGGGATGAGGGAAGCGGTGTGACTGTAAATGCCCTAGACTCTACTGTTTGGTCGGTTCAACCAGATAGAGTGACCTAAACGAATTCACGAGCGTTCAGCTGCGTCTGCGAAACTACACCCTCATTCTCGTTAGACTGGCATATGTTATACTGACCGGGACGCTTAGTGTAGCCGCAGCGGACCAAAGAAGGTCCTATCACATGCGTTATACTGACAGTTTGACCCAGGGCGTTTAGTCAAGGTTCTATACGTTCTAGAATGGTACTGCTGTTTTCTAAACGGTTAAGACAGTTATTCAGCGTTAACGGAATTTTACGGCCCAAGTCTGGTTTCGTCGCCTCGTGCGACTTGGCCCGCAACCGAGTTATCTCACCAGCCCGCTACGTCCAAACACTGTAGCCACTGCTTCCGCCGGTGAGAAGACTGAGAATGAGGGTGTACTAGAATTCGGTAGCAACGTCTTCGTGTAGAGAAGAGACGAGTGTGTGAATGGGGCAGTTTGCAAGGTCGTATCGCGTGGGGCCTGGTCCTCGGGGTCAACCGTGGACGACCTGACCGAAACCAGAGCAACAGCTCCATTCATCGTCACCGTCGCGACGTTTTGTCGAATAGTAATCCGACGGCTTTCATTTTGTGGGTGATTCGTGAAGCACGGAAAAATGTTGTCCTCGGCAGGAAAACACGCGGAAACGTCATATGCCGTGTGGCTTGGGGCAAGCTGGCTTGGCGTGCGATGTGCCTTGCAACTGCAATTGTCCATAGCGCGTCACCGAATTGATGCGGTACAGAATGATTCGCTAGCCTCATAGCATGGTAGACCTCTCTGTTATTTGCTACGTGTTGTCGCATAGACAGGACAACCAATAGGAACTTATGCAACCATCCTGCATTCTGGCTTTCTTTTTCACTACACACGTGTAATATCTCTCAATCTTCATCAACCATGTCATTAACTTGCTCTAGGAAGTTGCGCACTTGTGCTGCTGAAAGGAGCATCACTAGGCGAAGGTGTTGAAAGCCCTTCAGCTGTCAAAGCAACCATGAAATGGGTAGGGGAGGGGAAGGGGGGGGGGGGGGGGGGTGGGGGAGGGTTAGAATTACGGTAGTGAGAGCGAGCCGATGGGGGGGAACGAAAAGGGAGGGGGAGGAGAAGAAGAGGGATTGGAGGGAGCAAGGGGGTTGAGGAGGAAATGTAAGGGGTACAAAGAGGGGAGCATACAACTCTCTACACATCACGACTCACATGCACCTGTACCAGAAACACGACTACCGGAATGAGCAACTGAGGACAGCCGGAGCATGATAAAAGCTGACAAGCAGATTGTTAATGCCAGTTGTTTGGGTGGTTCGATGTTCAGCAAAACCTTACTGACAAGGTTGGAGACCTTCGATGGTGTTTGGATGACAAGCGCAAAGAGAGAGAGAATTGGGAAGGGACACCCTAGCTGACCTGTCTGGAGGCCATGACGTCAGCATGGACTGGGAAGGAATATGATGATGTGGCGAGCTGCATGGCAACAGATGGGTGGGAAATGGTGCGAAGAAGCAAGCAGAGCACATGAGACACATGGTGGACTTTTGAGGTGCCTCAAAAGAATGCACTAACTCGGAGCCATGAGGCATGTGGCATGACATGTGGTATGCAGCGGGATGGTGAAAGATACAGATGCATGGTGGATGCGGCTGCACAGGATGGCCTACCTTCTTGAGCAGCTCGTCCTCTGGCTTGGGAAAGAACAGCTCTGAGGCGCTGCTCCCCGCTCCCTTGGCCTGCTTCCTTGCCGCCTGCACACGGCCATGCGGCATTCGATGACGGCATATGGTCACATCAGCCGACTTGGGTTACTCGTGCAATGGTGATGAGATGCGGTCATGTCAATGCATGAGGACTGCATGGAAGGCTGGATCTAGACTTTCACATCTGCAGGCTTGCCCATGGCTGTGGTGCGTGCCAGGTGGGTGCCAGGTGGGTGCCAGGTGGGTGCCAGGTGGGTGCAGGCCGTGGTGTGACCTTACATGGTGAGGTCAAACCACAGAAGAAGTGTGTCGAGCCTATTTTATGGTCGACTAAAAAATAAGTGTGTCCAAAGGGTGAAAGGATGCAATTACATCATTACAGCATTGTTGCCACATCCCTGCTTTATACAAATGGGTGCTCTGCAGCTGTAACCTGAGCGACCATGCGTTACAAGAACTCCTGTGTAGAATTGAGCACAGCCATTACCTTGCCGCCTGTCTGGCGGTACATGCGCGTGAGAATCAGGAACTTCTCCACCGGTGCTCCCTTCTCCAGCTGCCACGTGGACCAATAAGGGGGAGAGTGGCGAGGTAAGGTGGGAATACAGGTGGAGGGGGAGGAGGGGATAGGATAGGAGGAGGAAAGAGGCAAAACAGGATGGTGAATCTATGGCTTTGCAAAACTAAGGCGCACCACCTGTACCTCTCCTCCTTGTGAGAGAAGAGAACCCCCTGGATTGTTGTGCAACAGCACAGATTACTGACCCACCATGGGCTGCAGCGGTTTCAGGTTTGGAGTTCCGGTTTCAGGGTTTTGGGTTTGAAGGATGTGAGATTTCAGGTTCAACGTTTTAGCTTTTAGGGTCCGTGACCCACCATGGGCTGCAGCATGCTTCTAAAGAGGTGTGGCACGAGTTGGAAGGGCAGGTTGGCCACACGCTCGCACACCACCACGCTCACTCAACCCCTTTGCATCTCCCCCATCCCCACAGCTCGGGGTTTTGGATTCAGGAGCACAAATGCGAATATGGGTTTATGGATTCAGATTTGGGGTTTCGGGTTTTGGCTTCAGGGACCTATGACCCACCATGGGCTGCAGTGTGCTTCTGAAGAGGTGCGGCACGAGTTGGAAGGGCAGGTTGGGCACACGCTCGCACACCACCACACCCACACGCCCCCTCTGCATCACCTTCCACAGCTCGTCCCACTGTGCCCTGTTGTCACACCCCTCATGCAGGAACCGGACAAAATCCGCCGTCCACCCCTTGGACTGCAACGGCAGTTTGGTGGGGTTGTGCGCGGGATGAGGATGAGGACGCGACCATGAGTTAGAATAAGAGGATGGTGATGAAAGGGCAGGTGGATTATACATGAGACTAGATGCACAAGCGAGCTGCTGATGTTAAGCTGCTCCACTGCCATGCCTTAGGATTCACTGAAAAAAGTTTTGAGGCGTCTCAAAACTGATGCTAAGCTGGTTCACTGCCATGCCTTTGGATTCTCCTCAAACAACAGCATTCATCAACTCACAAGGCATGGCATGGCATGATGCACCCGGTGTCACCTCACCTTGCAGATCAACGGCAGGCAAGCAGTGAGCCCCAGAATGCTCCCCTCATCCCCTGCTTTCACCACCGTTGCCACACTCCCACTCCCACTCCCACTCCCACCCCCACCACTGCCAGCAGCGTCCCCTTCCCCGGCTGCGCCTCCTCCCGGAGTTCCCGAGGTGACCGCGTCCACAAAGGCCGGCAGGTCCCACCGCTTGCCGTCCAGGAAGGTTCGCAGAAGCGCCTTCACGCCGTGGTAATCCGACGGCTGGGCGTCAAAGAAGTCGAAATCGACCATCAGGATCTGGTGGGGGTGGGCGGAATGACGAGGGATGGGAGGGAAAGCGGTCATGGAAGGGAACTATCACGGCATGGAAGGCAACATGAACACAGACACAGCCAGCAAACACTCTGCCTTCGTACCACGGCTAAAGAACTAGAAGCTGCGGTAACCCCCATTTCTCAATCTCACAGCAAAATAGATCTCAACCGTCCAGTAGAGCGTCTAGAAGAAATCCTGAATCCTATCGTTGGTGATTCATTTCTGGTTATGTGACCCGCAAGCACTCAACCCTCCAAAAGCTGTCAGTACCTCCTCGTCGCCTTTCTTCTCGCCGTCGCCGTCGCTCCCTTCATCCTCCTCCTCGTCCTCTTCCTCCTCGTCCTCCTCTCCTCCCTCATGCTCCTCACGATCATCCTCCCTATCGTCGTCCTCCTCCTCTTCCTCTTCTACGTTCTCATTGGCCGCGATGTCAGTTTCCGCTCCCTTTAGCGACCGTTTCTGCTTCAATCTCTTGTCTAGAGCGGGCGAATCAACTCTGGCGCCGTCTCTTCCTCCGTTATCCCCGTCGGCATTCCCAATGGGTCTCAGACCTAGAAGTTCCAATTGCTGGTCTTCTGACAATCGATCTAGTAGCTTCCGGAGTCGTCGCCGCGAATCGCGGCGTGACTTCACTACAGAGAAGGGGTTGTTGAACGGCGGCAAGCCGAAAAAACTCGAACTGGCGAGGCTGCGAACCATGGTGACATGCAACACGAACAGGTCCAATCAGCAGAGCAGGTTTTAAATATTTCATTAAAAATATTGATGTTAACCTGCTGTACACGGGGGTGTAGCTCACATGGTAGAGCGATCGCTTCGCATGCGATAGGTAAGGGGATCGATACCCCTCACCTCCACATCCTTATCTTGCTGTTGTCTAGTCTTCCAGTGCTAACACCATTTTGTGATTTCTTATGAGATGCAGTGTCCGTACAGGTTTAGCCACTTTGGTGGTGACCTACGCACAGGGAGACTAGACATTGCTTTTATGCATGCTGTGACATTACATTTGAGAACCCTTGTGAGAGCAAGCCACACCTTATTGGGAACCATACCCTTCCTGAGGCCATCCATCCATCCATCCATCCACTTCATCACAGCAATCCCTGGAGGGGCCTGTGTACTGTGTATCACTCTACATCCCTGGGCATCTGCATGGCCATATGACACCCTTGCCTGACAATGGACACTACTACCATAGCATACTCCTAACCGTATGTTGTATGTCTACTGTATTCACTTCATGCTACTGCTTTTGATCGCCATGTCTGTGCCTCTCAGTATCCCTGAGCACTCGTAGAGCCATGGGGCGCCATTGCTTGGCCGTAGACACTGACAGACCCATGCCAGTTGCCAGGCCCTTGAGCAGCATCATGGTGCGCACTATAAAGAAGATGTCTGCTGGGAAAGCCTGCAGTAGGGCAGGGAACATCGCAAGGGGGGGGTGGAATAATAGCTGGTTAGCAGCATCATGGTGCGCACTATAAAGAAGATGTCTGCTGGGAAAGCCTGTGGCGATGAAGGGAGCACGAGCAGAGAATTGCAAACGTCGAAGACTCAGGAACAACAAATGCCCACAAGAAGACACTAGCTCTAAAAAAAACATTTGTCCGAAGAAACGGGACAGGCTGGTTGACAAAACAAATAACTACCCCTGATCCATTCCCAAACCTTACCTTCATGGCATTGCTCTTGAGTGAGCTCTCCGCCCCGAACGGGTTGGCACTGGTAACTCCGTTACCAGAGCCGGTATCAAACATGATCATGGCCATGCGGCGGAAGCTGTTGGGGTGCTCCCCGGCTGTCTTGGCCGTCTCGATCCCCATGGCCGTGAAGCACGAGCCCACAGCCAGCATGTCCTCATCGGCTATCGCCACCACCAAGCGAGCCAGATTCAGCCTCAACGCTTCGGGAAGCTGCTTGGTCTGCCCATAATCTAACAGAGCCACCCTGCCCCCCGCGCACACGAGGATGTTTCCTGGATGGGGGTCCGCCTGAAAGTGGCCGTGCTGCAGCAGCATGCGGCCATACGCCGTGGATAGCGCTGAGAATATGCGACTGCAACGGGGGGGGAGGGGAAAGGGCAGGAGGTTAAGATTGTGACGATGGGAGGGTGGGGAGGAGCGCGCTAGATTCAGCCTGAGCGCCTCATGCAGCTGCTTGGTCTGCCCGTAGTCCAACAGAGCCACCCTGCCCCCCGCGCACACGAGAATGTTGCCCGAATGGGGGTCCGCCTGGAAGTGCCCGTGCTGCAGCAGCATGCGGCCATAGGCTGTTGATAGCGCTGAGAATATGCGACTGCAAGGGGAAGGGGTTTGTGTATGAGGAAAAGGGAGAGGGTGAGGATGGATAGTGAGGAGGGGAGGAGGGGCCCTGTACGTGATCTCTGGCAGCTGCTTGGACTGCCTGTAGTCCAGCCGCGTACGGCCGACTTTTGAGTCGACTCAAAAGTCACCTTGGACTGCCTGTAGTCCAGCCGCGTACGGCCGACTTTTGAGTCGACTCAAAAGTCACCTTGGACTGCCTGTAGTCCAGCCGCGTACGGCCGACTTTTGAGTCGACTCAAAAGTCACCTTGGACTGCCTGTAGTCCAGCCGCGTACGGCCGACTTTTGAGTCGACTCAAAAGTCACCTTGGACTGCCTGTAGTCCAGCCGCGTACGGCCGACTTTTGAGTCGACTCAAAAGTCACCTTGGACTGCCTGTAGTCCAGCCGCGTACGGCCGACTTTTGAGTCGACTCAAAAGTCACCTTGGACTGCCTGTAGTCCAGCCGCGTACGGCCGACTTTTGAGTCGACTCAAAAGTCACCTTGGACTGCCTGTAGTCCAGCCGCGTACGGCCGACTTTTGAGTCGACTCAAAAGTCACCTTGGACTGCCTGTAGTCCAGCCGCGTACGGCCGACTTTTGAGTCGACTCAAAAGTCACCTTGGACTGCCTGTAGTCCAGCCGCGTACGGCCGACTTTTGAGTCGACTCAAAAGTCACCTTGGACTGCCTGTAGTCCAGCCGCGTACGGCCGACTTTTGAGTCGACTCAAAAGTCACCTTGGACTGCCTGTAGTCCAGCCGCGTACGGCCGACTTTTGAGTCGACTCAAAAGTCACCTTGGACTGCCTGTAGTCCAGCCGCGTACGGCCGACTTTTGAGTCGACTCAAAAGTCACCTTGGACTGCCTGTAGTCCAGCCGCGTACGGCCGACTTTTGAGTCGACTCAAAAGTCACCTTGGACTGCCTGTAGTCCAGCCGCGTACGGCCGACTTTTGAGTCGACTCAAAAGTCACCTTGGACTGCCTGTAGTCCAGCCGCGTACGGCCGACTTTTGAGTCGACTCAAAAGTCACCTTGGACTGCCTGTAGTCCAGCCGCGTACGGCCGACTTTTGAGTCGACTCAAAAGTCACCTTGGACTGCCTGTAGTCCAGCCGCGTACGGCCGACTTTTGAGTCGACTCAAAAGTCACCTTGGACTGCCTGTAGTCCAGCCGCGTACGGCCGACTTTTGAGTCGACTCAAAAGTCACCTTGGACTGCCTGTAGTCCAGCCGCGTACGGCCGACTTTTGAGTCGACTCAAAAGTCACCTTGGACTGCCTGTAGTCCAGCCGCGTACGGCCGACTTTTGAGTCGACTCAAAAGTCACCTTGGACTGCCTGTAGTCCAGCCGCGTACGGCCGACTTTTGAGTCGACTCAAAAGTCACCTTGGACTGCCTGTAGTCCAGCCGCGTACGGCCGACTTTTGAGTCGACTCAAAAGTCACCTTGGACTGCCTGTAGTCCAGCCGCGTACGGCCGACTTTTGAGTCGACTCAAAAGTCACCTTGGACTGCCTGTAGTCCAGCCGCGTACGGCCGACTTTTGAGTCGACTCAAAAGTCACCTTGGACTGCCTGTAGTCCAGCCGCGTACGGCCGACTTTTGAGTCGACTCAAAAGTCACCTTGGACTGCCTGTAGTCCAGCCGCGTACGGCCGACTTTTGAGTCGACTCAAAAGTCACCTTGGACTGCCTGTAGTCCAGCCGCGTACGGCCGACTTTTGAGTCGACTCAAAAGTCACCTTGGACTGCCTGTAGTCCAGCCGCGTACGGCCGACTTTTGAGTCGACTCAAAAGTCACCTTGGACTGCCTGTAGTCCAGCCGCGTACGGCCGACTTTTGAGTCGACTCAAAAGTCACCTTGGACTGCCTGTAGTCCAGCCGCGTACGGCCGACTTTTGAGTCGACTCAAAAGTCACCTTGGACTGCCTGTAGTCCAGCCGCGTACGGCCGACTTTTGAGTCGACTCAAAAGTCACCTTGGACTGCCTGTAGTCCAGCCGCGTACGGCCGACTTTTGAGTCGACTCAAAAGTCACCTTGGACTGCCTGTAGTCCAGCCGCGTACGGCCGACTTTTGAGTCGACTCAAAAGTCACCTTGGACTGCCTGTAGTCCAGCCGCGTACGGCCGACTTTTGAGTCGACTCAAAAGTCACCTTGGACTGCCTGTAGTCCAGCCGCGTACGGCCGACTTTTGAGTCGACTCAAAAGTCACCTTGGACTGCCTGTAGTCCAGCCGCGTACGGCCGACTTTTGAGTCGACTCAAAAGTCACCTTGGACTGCCTGTAGTCCAGCCGCGTACGGCCGACTTTTGAGTCGACTCAAAAGTCACCTTGGACTGCCTGTAGTCCAGCCGCGTACGGCCGACTTTTGAGTCGACTCAAAAGTCACCTTGGACTGCCTGTAGTCCAGCCGCGTACGGCCGACTTTTGAGTCGACTCAAAAGTCACCTTGGACTGCCTGTAGTCCAGCCGCGTACGGCCGACTTTTGAGTCGACTCAAAAGTCACCTTGGACTGCCTGTAGTCCAGCCGCGTACGGCCGACTTTTGAGTCGACTCAAAAGTCACCTTGGACTGCCTGTAGTCCAGCCGCGTACGGCCGACTTTTGAGTCGACTCAAAAGTCACCTTGGACTGCCTGTAGTCCAGCCGCGTACGGCCGACTTTTGAGTCGACTCAAAAGTCACCTTGGACTGCCTGTAGTCCAGCCGCGTACGGCCGACTTTTGAGTCGACTCAAAAGTCACCTTGGACTGCCTGTAGTCCAGCCGCGTACGGCCGACTTTTGAGTCGACTCAAAAGTCACCTTGGACTGCCTGTAGTCCAGCCGCGTACGGCCGACTTTTGAGTCGACTCAAAAGTCACCTTGGACTGCCTGTAGTCCAGCCGCGTACGGCCGACTTTTGAGTCGACTCAAAAGTCACCTTGGACTGCCTGTAGTCCAGCCGCGTACGGCCGACTTTTGAGTCGACTCAAAAGTCACCTTGGACTGCCTGTAGTCCAGCCGCGTACGGCCGACTTTTGAGTCGACTCAAAAGTCACCTTGGACTGCCTGTAGTCCAGCCGCGTACGGCCGACTTTTGAGTCGACTCAAAAGTCACCTTGGACTGCCTGTAGTCCAGCCGCGTACGGCCGACTTTTGAGTCGACTCAAAAGTCACCTTGGACTGCCTGTAGTCCAGCCGCGTACGGCCGACTTTTGAGTCGACTCAAAAGTCACCTTGGACTGCCTGTAGTCCAGCCGCGTACGGCCGACTTTTGAGTCGACTCAAAAGTCACCTTGGACTGCCTGTAGTCCAGCCGCGTACGGCCGACTTTTGAGTCGACTCAAAAGTCACCTTGGACTGCCTGTAGTCCAGCCGCGTACGGCCGACTTTTGAGTCGACTCAAAAGTCACCTTGGACTGCCTGTAGTCCAGCCGCGTACGGCCGACTTTTGAGTCGACTCAAAAGTCACCTTGGACTGCCTGTAGTCCAGCCGCGTACGGCCGACTTTTGAGTCGACTCAAAAGTCACCTTGGACTGCCTGTAGTCCAGCCGCGTACGGCCGACTTTTGAGTCGACTCAAAAGTCACCTTGGACTGCCTGTAGTCCAGCCGCGTACGGCCGACTTTTGAGTCGACTCAAAAGTCACCTTGGACTGCCTGTAGTCCAGCCGCGTACGGCCGACTTTTGAGTCGACTCAAAAGTCACCTTGGACTGCCTGTAGTCCAGCCGCGTACGGCCGACTTTTGAGTCGACTCAAAAGTCACCTTGGACTGCCTGTAGTCCAGCCGCGTACGGCCGACTTTTGAGTCGACTCAAAAGTCACCTTGGACTGCCTGTAGTCCAGCCGCGTACGGCCGACTTTTGAGTCGACTCAAAAGTCACCTTGGACTGCCTGTAGTCCAGCCGCGTACGGCCGACTTTTGAGTCGACTCAAAAGTCACCTTGGACTGCCTGTAGTCCAGCCGCGTACGGCCGACTTTTGAGTCGACTCAAAAGTCACCTTGGACTGCCTGTAGTCCAGCCGCGTACGGCCGACTTTTGAGTCGACTCAAAAGTCACCTTGGACTGCCTGTAGTCCAGCCGCGTACGGCCGACTTTTGAGTCGACTCAAAAGTCACCTTGGACTGCCTGTAGTCCAGCCGCGTACGGCCGACTTTTGAGTCGACTCAAAAGTCACCTTGGACTGCCTGTAGTCCAGCCGCGTACGGCCGACTTTTGAGTCGACTCAAAAGTCACCTTGGACTGCCTGTAGTCCAGCCGCGTACGGCCGACTTTTGAGTCGACTCAAAAGTCACCTTGGACTGCCTGTAGTCCAGCCGCGTACGGCCGACTTTTGAGTCGACTCAAAAGTCACCTTGGACTGCCTGTAGTCCAGCCGCGTACGGCCGACTTTTGAGTCGACTCAAAAGTCACCTTGGACTGCCTGTAGTCCAGCCGCGTACGGCCGACTTTTGAGTCGACTCAAAAGTCACCTTGGACTGCCTGTAGTCCAGCCGCGTACGGCCGACTTTTGAGTCGACTCAAAAGTCACCTTGGACTGCCTGTAGTCCAGCCGCGTACGGCCGACTTTTGAGTCGACTCAAAAGTCACCTTGGACTGCCTGTAGTCCAGCCGCGTACGGCCGACTTTTGAGTCGACTCAAAAGTCACCTTGGACTGCCTGTAGTCCAGCCGCGTACGGCCGACTTTTGAGTCGACTCAAAAGTCACCTTGGACTGCCTGTAGTCCAGCCGCGTACGGCCGACTTTTGAGTCGACTCAAAAGTCACCTTGGACTGCCTGTAGTCCAGCCGCGTACGGCCGACTTTTGAGTCGACTCAAAAGTCACCTTGGACTGCCTGTAGTCCAGCCGCGTACGGCCGACTTTTGAGTCGACTCAAAAGTCACCTTGGACTGCCTGTAGTCCAGCCGCGTACGGCCGACTTTTGAGTCGACTCAAAAGTCACCTTGGACTGCCTGTAGTCCAGCCGCGTACGGCCGACTTTTGAGTCGACTCAAAAGTCACCTTGGACTGCCTGTAGTCCAGCCGCGTACGGCCGACTTTTGAGTCGACTCAAAAGTCACCTTGGACTGCCTGTAGTCCAGCCGCGTACGGCCGACTTTTGAGTCGACTCAAAAGTCACCTTGGACTGCCTGTAGTCCAGCCGCGTACGGCCGACTTTTGAGTCGACTCAAAAGTCACCTTGGACTGCCTGTAGTCCAGCCGCGTACGGCCGACTTTTGAGTCGACTCAAAAGTCACCTTGGACTGCCTGTAGTCCAGCCGCGTACGGCCGACTTTTGAGTCGACTCAAAAGTCACCTTGGACTGCCTGTAGTCCAGCCGCGTACGGCCGACTTTTGAGTCGACTCAAAAGTCACCTTGGACTGCCTGTAGTCCAGCCGCGTACGGCCGACTTTTGAGTCGACTCAAAAGTCACCTTGGACTGCCTGTAGTCCAGCCGCGTACGGCCGACTTTTGAGTCGACTCAAAAGTCACCTTGGACTGCCTGTAGTCCAGCCGCGTACGGCCGACTTTTGAGTCGACTCAAAAGTCACCTTGGACTGCCTGTAGTCCAGCCGCGTACGGCCGACTTTTGAGTCGACTCAAAAGTCACCTTGGACTGCCTGTAGTCCAGCCGCGTACGGCCGACTTTTGAGTCGACTCAAAAGTCACCTTGGACTGCCTGTAGTCCAGCCGCGTACGGCCGACTTTTGAGTCGACTCAAAAGTCACCTTGGACTGCCTGTAGTCCAGCCGCGTACGGCCGACTTTTGAGTCGACTCAAAAGTCACCTTGGACTGCCTGTAGTCCAGCCGCGTACGGCCGACTTTTGAGTCGACTCAAAAGTCACCTTGGACTGCCTGTAGTCCAGCCGCGTACGGCCGACTTTTGAGTCGACTCAAAAGTCACCTTGGACTGCCTGTAGTCCAGCCGCGTACGGCCGACTTTTGAGTCGACTCAAAAGTCACCTTGGACTGCCTGTAGTCCAGCCGCGTACGGCCGACTTTTGAGTCGACTCAAAAGTCACCTTGGACTGCCTGTAGTCCAGCCGCGTACGGCCGACTTTTGAGTCGACTCAAAAGTCACCTTGGACTGCCTGTAGTCCAGCCGCGTACGGCCGACTTTTGAGTCGACTCAAAAGTCACCTTGGACTGCCTGTAGTCCAGCCGCGTACGGCCGACTTTTGAGTCGACTCAAAAGTCACCTTGGACTGCCTGTAGTCCAGCCGCGTACGGCCGACTTTTGAGTCGACTCAAAAGTCACCTTGGACTGCCTGTAGTCCAGCCGCGTACGGCCGACTTTTGAGTCGACTCAAAAGTCACCTTGGACTGCCTGTAGTCCAGCCGCGTACGGCCGACTTTTGAGTCGACTCAAAAGTCACCTTGGACTGCCTGTAGTCCAGCCGCGTACGGCCGACTTTTGAGTCGACTCAAAAGTCACCTTGGACTGCCTGTAGTCCAGCCGCGTACGGCCGACTTTTGAGTCGACTCAAAAGTCACCTTGGACTGCCTGTAGTCCAGCCGCGTACGGCCGACTTTTGAGTCGACTCAAAAGTCACCTTGGACTGCCTGTAGTCCAGCCGCGTACGGCCGACTTTTGAGTCGACTCAAAAGTCACCTTGGACTGCCTGTAGTCCAGCCGCGTACGGCCGACTTTTGAGTCGACTCAAAAGTCACCTTGGACTGCCTGTAGTCCAGCCGCGTACGGCCGACTTTTGAGTCGACTCAAAAGTCACCTTGGACTGCCTGTAGTCCAGCCGCGTACGGCCGACTTTTGAGTCGACTCAAAAGTCACCTTGGACTGCCTGTAGTCCAGCCGCGTACGGCCGACTTTTGAGTCGACTCAAAAGTCACCTTGGACTGCCTGTAGTCCAGCCGCGTACGGCCGACTTTTGAGTCGACTCAAAAGTCACCTTGGACTGCCTGTAGTCCAGCCGCGTACGGCCGACTTTTGAGTCGACTCAAAAGTCACCTTGGACTGCCTGTAGTCCAGCCGCGTACGGCCGACTTTTGAGTCGACTCAAAAGTCACCTTGGACTGCCTGTAGTCCAGCCGCGTACGGCCGACTTTTGAGTCGACTCAAAAGTCACCTTGGACTGCCTGTAGTCCAGCCGCGTACGGCCGACTTTTGAGTCGACTCAAAAGTCACCTTGGACTGCCTGTAGTCCAGCCGCGTACGGCCGACTTTTGAGTCGACTCAAAAGTCACCTTGGACTGCCTGTAGTCCAGCCGCGTACGGCCGACTTTTGAGTCGACTCAAAAGTCACCTTGGACTGCCTGTAGTCCAGCCGCGTACGGCCGACTTTTGAGTCGACTCAAAAGTCACCTTGGACTGCCTGTAGTCCAGCCGCGTACGGCCGACTTTTGAGTCGACTCAAAAGTCACCTTGGACTGCCTGTAGTCCAGCCGCGTACGGCCGACTTTTGAGTCGACTCAAAAGTCACCTTGGACTGCCTGTAGTCCAGCCGCGTACGGCCGACTTTTGAGTCGACTCAAAAGTCACCTTGGACTGCCTGTAGTCCAGCCGCGTACGGCCGACTTTTGAGTCGACTCAAAAGTCACCTTGGACTGCCTGTAGTCCAGCCGCGTACGGCCGACTTTTGAGTCGACTCAAAAGTCACCTTGGACTGCCTGTAGTCCAGCCGCGTACGGCCGACTTTTGAGTCGACTCAAAAGTCACCTTGGACTGCCTGTAGTCCAGCCGCGTACGGCCGACTTTTGAGTCGACTCAAAAGTCACCTTGGACTGCCTGTAGTCCAGCCGCGTACGGCCGACTTTTGAGTCGACTCAAAAGTCACCTTGGACTGCCTGTAGTCCAGCCGCGTACGGCCGACTTTTGAGTCGACTCAAAAGTCACCTTGGACTGCCTGTAGTCCAGCCGCGTACGGCCGACTTTTGAGTCGACTCAAAAGTCACCTTGGACTGCCTGTAGTCCAGCCGCGTACGGCCGACTTTTGAGTCGACTCAAAAGTCACCTTGGACTGCCTGTAGTCCAGCCGCGTACGGCCGACTTTTGAGTCGACTCAAAAGTCACCTTGGACTGCCTGTAGTCCAGCCGCGTACGGCCGACTTTTGAGTCGACTCAAAAGTCACCTTGGACTGCCTGTAGTCCAGCCGCGTACGGCCGACTTTTGAGTCGACTCAAAAGTCACCTTGGACTGCCTGTAGTCCAGCCGCGTACGGCCGACTTTTGAGTCGACTCAAAAGTCACCTTGGACTGCCTGTAGTCCATCCGCGTACGGCCGACTTTTGAGTCGACTCAAAAGTCACCTTGGACTGCCTGTAGTCCAGCCGCGTACGGCCGACTTTTGAGTCGACTCAAAAGTCACCTTGGACTGCCTGTAGTCCAGCCGCGAACGGCCGACTTTTGAGTCGACTCAAAAGTCACCTTGGACTGCCTGTAGTCCAGCCGCGTACGGCCGACTTTTGAGTCGACTCAAAAGTCACCTTGGACTGCCTGTAGTCCAGCCGCGAACGGCCGTACGCTGCTGGTAGCGCTTAGAAGATACGACTGGGGAGGGAAGCGGGGGCACGGGACAGAGGGGGAGTGGTAGAGTAGGAGGACGGTGAGGATTGGAGGGCAGGGAGGTGGGAGCTTAGAATTGGACGTGGCAGGCAGGGGCGAACAAGGGCAGGCAATGAGAGTGGCCATGGCACATCATGTGAACCTAAGGAGAGGCACAAACACGAGTACCCCACCCAGCCCCGCCTGACCCCATCCCACCCAACCCACCGCACCTCTTGGTCTCTTTGGCCAGTGCACCACTGGGGCTGATGCCTTGCCGGAAGTCTCAGAATGGGCGTGTCCTCAGCAAGGTGTACACAAACACGAGTACCCCACCCAATCCCGCCCAACCCCATCCCACCGCACCTCTTGGTCTGCCTTGCCAGTGCGTCACTGGGGCTGATGCCTCGCTTGCGCATCTCCTCAGGCAGTCTCAGGATGGGCGTGCCGTCTATGAAGTCCATTACCAATAGGCCCCTGGGAGAGCCACGAAAAGGCAGGTGGAGGAAAGAGGGGCAAGCAAGAATGCCTCAAATGAAGAATGGACTCAGAATGGGCGTGCCGTCTATAAAGTCATCACCAGTAGGCGCCTGGGATTGACACAGTGAGCCACAAGTGGGCAAGACAGGAGACTACTTGTGAGGAGTAAGGCGTGATTGAAGTGAGGAGGACTGATAGAAGAAAGGGGGGAGCAGCGGAGGAAGAAAGGCAGAAGGCCACTTGAATGTCTAGCAGACGTCATAAACAGCACAGCATCTCTATCTGCTGAATGGGGCCACAGAAGCACAAGTGGCACCTGGCAACGGCAGCAGTAGTGGCACCTGGTGATAGCAGCAGCAACAGCATTACCTGGTGACAAGGCCTGGTATGGCTGCTGGCACAATGACAGGTGACGCCCGTGTGTCCATCTCCGCACTCCGCCCACCACCTTCAGCCCCGCCTTGCACAATGACATGTGCCCCTTGTCGATCCTCAGGCCTTGCCTTCTTCCCCGCATGCTCCACCCTCCCCAACGTCTCCACCCTTTCCACCCTCTCCACCCTATTCGCCTTGCTAATCCCTCCACGACCCACACCATGTCTGCCTGTGCGCCTGCTGCTCCGCATCCCCCCATGCCTCTCCCACCTACCCCCTGCCGTCTCGCCCCCGTCCCGCTGTGCCAGGGCGTGTCTGATGCGCTCCATGGCTGCTGCCTCGTGCTCAAAGTCAAACTCGTACCGGATCTGCAACACAGGGACGAGGGAGGAGGGACACAGGATAAGAAACGAGGGCAGCACATACCCGTTCGTATCGGCCAGTAGTGCCGTTGAGCCGTTTCCGATATTTGAGCTGTCCGGGAAGTTCATGGCTGCTGCCTCGCGCTCAAAATCAAACTCGTACCATGCACCATGCACGGGGCGAGAGAGAGCAGCACACTACTAATGGGGTGACAATGCACCATGCACCATGCACCATGCACCATGCACCATGCACCATGCACCATGCACGCACCTGCTGCTCCAGCTCAGAAATGGGTCCCAGCAGGTCCACTTTGAGCTCGGCGCGCTGCAGGAAGGCGCCAAAGAGACGCAGATTCGCCAGGTCCATCAGCATCAACCGCTCTGCCCCCGCGCGCTGCACCTGTGGGGCGGGGTGGAAGTGGAGGGGGGTTGAGGAGAGGAGAGACGTGAGCGATGAGGCACATCTAGGTTCATAAGAGTGGTGAGAGCAGTGGGCGTGGTAGAGACGCAGATTCGCCAGGTCCATGAGCATCAGGCGCTCTGCTCCCGCGCGCTGCACCTGTGGGGTGAGAATGAAGGGGGACGCGGAGGGCGAGGAGAGATGAGGGAACTGAGGGGCAGTTAGGTGTATGAGCGATGAGAGGACTGGGCGTAGCAGAGAGCTTGTGCTGTGCTCGCGCGCCCATGCGCATCAGGCGAGGTGCTCTGCCCCCCCGCGCGTCCATGAGAATTCTCAAAAACCAGCGCGTCCATGAGCATCAGGTGCTCTGCTCCCGCGCGCTGCACCTGTGGTCTCTTTTGAGACGTCTCAAGAGTCACCTGTGGTGTGAGGATAAGAGGGTGGAGAAAGAGAGTGAGGAAGCAAGCATGCCTATCCTATCACACAACGCCATACCACCCCATCATGCATAGGCCCTGCCTGCCTGCCATACAAGCACACTCATGCGCACGGTGCCCCCTGCACATGTGCTGCTTGCTTACCTTGATGGCAACACGGCGCCCATCCTTCAACCTGCCCCTGTGCACCTGCTTGTAATCCGCCCCCATCACACACACACACACAAACAGAGGCACGGTGCAGGGGAGGGAATGACAAAGAAGACGGAGGATTGAGTAGAAGACGGAAACAAATGGGCAGACCATGGGCAGCGTTGATTGCAACAAGCACTTGGTCACAATCATACCACAAAGCATTCTGCTCCTTCCCCCTCTCTTCCTTCCCCCCTCATCCTCCCCCAACTCATCCTCCCCCCTCATTCTTACCCCACCCACCATCCTCCCCCGCTGACCTGGGCAATGGATGCAGACCCAACCGGCTCTTCCTCAAACTCCGCAAACACGTCTTCCAGCCGCACCCGTGCCACGTCAGCAGCACTTGCCACGTCACTCCCTGCCACGTAAGCACGTGCCAGCTCAGCCTCGACGGTGCGTCGGACGAGAGGGAAGGGGTCTGCGGGCGCACTGTCATGGAGGGGGGCGAGGCGACGCACCCAGGCTGGGGGGGACATGTCTGGCTTGGCTAGGAACTGCCCTGCCTGGTGGGGAGAGAGGGAGTGAGGTGAAGGGAAGGGGAGAGAAGGGTAGAGGAGGAGTGAGGAAAGGAGAGGACATCGCACCCAGGCTGGGGGGGACATGTCTGGCTTGGCTAGGAACTGCCCTGCCTGGTGGGGAGGGGAGGAGGAGGGTGAGAGGGGAGTTTATGGTTGGGGGCTCAGGGTTTAGGAACATGTCTGGCTTGGCCAGGAACTGCCCAGCCAGGTGGAGAAAGGAGGGATGGGGATGGGGATGGGGATGAATGAAGAGTGGAGATGGCATCTCTATATGCAGAAAGGACATGTGTGGCTTGGCTAAAAACTGCCCTGCCTGTTGGCTCGGTGCAGAGCGGGGTGCTGTATCTCCGCGCCCGCCGCGGTTATTGAAGTGAGGAGGACTGATAGAAGAAAGGGGGGAGCAGCGGAGGAAGAAAGGCAGAAGGCCACTTGAATGTCTAGCAGACGTCATAAACAGCACAGCATCTCTATCTGCTGAATGGGGCCACAGAAGCACAAGTGGCACCTGGCAACGGCAGCAGTAGTGGCACCTGGTGATAGCAGCAGCAACAGCATTACCTGGTGACAAGGCCTGGTATGGCTGCTGGCACAATGACAGGTGACGCCCGTGTGTCCATCTCCGCACTCCGCCCACCACCTTCAGCCCCGCCTTGCACAATGACATGTGCCCCTTGTCGATCCTCAGGCCTTGCCTTCTTCCCCGCATGCTCCACCCTCCCCAACGTCTCCACCCTTTCCACCCTCTCCACCCTATTCGCCTTGCTAATCCCTCCACGACCCACACCATGTCTGCCTGTGCGCCTGCTGCTCCGCATCCCCCCATGCCTCTCCCACCTACCCCCTGCCGTCTCGCCCCCGTCCCGCTGTGCCAGGGCGTGTCTGATGCGCTCCATGGCTGCTGCCTCGTGCTCAAAGTCAAACTCGTACCGGATCTGCAACACAGGGACGAGGGAGGAGGGACACAGGATAAGAAACGAGGGCAGCACATACCCGTTCGTATCGGCCAGTAGTGCCGTTGAGCCGTTTCCGATATTTGAGCTGTCCGGGAAGTTCATGGCTGCTGCCTCGCGCTCAAAATCAAACTCGTACCATGCACCATGCACGGGGCGAGAGAGAGCAGCACACTACTAATGGGGTGACAATGCACCATGCACCATGCACCATGCACCATGCACCATGCACGCACCTGCTGCTCCAGCTCAGAAATGGGTCCCAGCAGGTCCACTTTGAGCTCGGCGCGCTGCAGGAAGGCGCCAAAGAGACGCAGATTCGCCAGGTCCATCAGCATCAACCGCTCTGCCCCCGCGCGCTGCACCTGTGGGGCGGGGTGGAAGTGGAGGGGGGTTGAGGAGAGGAGAGACGTGAGCGATGAGGCACATCTAGGTTCATAAGAGTGGTGAGAGCAGTGGGCGTGGTAGAGACGCAGATTCGCCAGGTCCATGAGCATCAGGCGCTCTGCTCCCGCGCGCTGCACCTGTGGGGTGAGAATGAAGGGGGACGCGGAGGGCGAGGAGAGATGAGGGAACTGAGGGGCAGTTAGGTGTGTGAGCGATGAGAGGACTGGGCGTAGCAGAGAGCTTGTGCTGTGCTCGCGCGCCCATGCGCATCAGGCGAGGTGCTCTGCCCCCCCGCGCGTCCATGAGAATTCTCAAAAACCAGCGCGTCCATGAGCATCAGGTGCTCTGCTCCCGCGCGCTGCACCTGTGGTCTCTTTTGAGACGTCTCAAGAGTCACCTGTGGTGTGAGGATAAGAGGGTGGAGAAAGAGAGTGAGGAAGCAAGCATGCCTATCCTATCACACAACGCCATACCACCCCATCATGCATAGGCCCTGCCTGCCTGCCATACAAGCACACTCATGCGCACGGTGCCCCCTGCACATGTGCTGCTTGCTTACCTTGATGGCAACACGGCGCCCATCCTTCAACCTGCCCCTGTGCACCTGCTTGTAATCCGCCCCCATCACACACACACACACAAACAGAGGCACGGTGCAGGGGAGGGAATGACAAAGAAGACGGAGGATTGAGTAGAAGACGGAAACAAATGGGCAGACCATGGGCAGCGTTGATTGCAACAAGCACTTGGTCACAATCATACCACAAAGCATTCTGCTCCTTCCCCCTCTCTTCCTTCCCCCCTCATCCTCCCCCAACTCATCCTCCCCCCTCATTCTTACCCCACCCACCATCCTCCCCCGCTGACCTGGGCAATGGATGCAGACCCAACCGGCTCTTCCTCAAACTCCGCAAACACGTCTTCCAGCCGCACCCGTGCCACGTCAGCAGCACTTGCCACGTCACTCCCTGCCACGTAAGCACGTGCCAGCTCAGCCTCGACGGTGCGTCGGACGAGAGGGAAGGGGTCTGCGGGCGCACTGTCATGGAGGGGGGCGAGGCGACGCACCCAGGCTGGGGGGGACATGTCTGGCTTGGCTAGGAACTGCCCTGCCTGGTGGGGAGAGAGGGAGTGAGGTGAAGGGAAGGGGAGAGAAGGGTAGAGGAGGAGTGAGGAAAGGAGAGGACATCGCACCCAGGCTGGGGGGGACATGTCTGGCTTGGCTAGGAACTGCCCTGCCTGGTGGGGAGGGGAGGAGGAGGGTGAGAGGGGAGTTTATGGTTGGGGGCTCAGGGTTTAGGAACATGTCTGGCTTGGCCAGGAACTGCCCAGCCAGGTGGAGAAAGGAGGGATGGGGATGGGGATGGGGATGAATGAAGAGTGGAGATGGCATCTCTATATGCAGAAAGGACATGTGTGGCTTGGCTAAAAACTGCCCTGCCTGTTGGCTCGGTGCAGAGCGGGGTGCTGTATCTCCGCGCCCGCCGCGGTTACTTTTGAGTCATCATTGCTGCAGCCGTCTTGAGGAAGAATCGCTGCTTGCGGTTGCGGGAGGTGACTGAAGGACACGCTCCTAACTGTCGCCTTTTGAGACGTCTCAAAAGTCTCCTAACTGTCGCAGCGGCGGCGGTACCTTGAGGAAGAAGCCCTGCATTTCGGTGCAGAGCGAGTGAAGTATCTCCGCCCCCCGCTCGTGCTGCTCCTCCCACGCCGCCCGCCGCTGCTCCTCACTCAGCCTGCTTACGCGCACGCGCAGCTGGCACAGCTGATGGGGCTCGTATGGGGATGGGGGGCGGGGGGAAAGAAAGATAGAACCACGCAGCTGACTTCTGAGTCGACTCGAAAGCCTGCCTAGGCGCACGCGCACCTGGCACAGCTGATGGCGCTCACATGGGTATCGGAGTGGGGGAGTGGAAGTGAAGAAGTGTGGAAGCAGGCGGAAAACACGTGTGCGTGCGGACCTAGGAAATTACTGTTGAGAGTCCACGGAACGGAGCACTGTGAAAGGAATGGACTTTCTTGTCTACTGCATAGGAAACTGCCTTGGCTGCACAACTCACACGGCTCGTTATGATCACCTTGTAGCTGCATCGTTATAATCACCTTGTAGCTGCCGTACAGATGCACGGCTCGTCTCCAGAAATCGACAATGCGGTGCAGCGCCTGCTGCTGCTCCCGCCAACCCTCCACCTTCCTCCTGCTACCGCCGCCGCTGCCAGCAGTAGCGCTGCTGGTAGCGTTGGTAGCGTCGGTAACCCTGTTTGTCCCCCGCGCCGTGGCGCTCCCCGCCTTGTCATGCGAATGCCATGGCGCGACGGACAGCCCGCTGCGGAATTGCGACTCCGCCTGCACGATCCGATCCTGCAGCCATCCCGCGAGCTCGGCGCGCAGCGCCTCGGGGTTCGATCCTACGACGGAATTTCCGTTACGGTCGGTCGAGGCGACAAGAGAGTGCTTCATGCTCGAACCAGGCGGGTAACGAGGGCTGTAACGAAGCTTGTTGGGAATTGACGAGTAATGGGTGGCAGTTTTCGAGCTAAATCGTTAGGGCATGCCATGACGAGACGATGAAATTGTATGAATCACACTAACTCCACTATTGGAGATTGCATGAACGATAATATATAATTTTACGTCCTCGTTATGGGACGAGGACGCCATGAATTATTTACCGATGAAGGATGTCATTTTCGGTACGCTGCTGCAACGACTGCAATAAGGGATGCTTGCGATGTAGGCAACATCGCACACGGTTTGCGAAACTTTGCAGCTGGTTTCCGGGATTGAATCCTTCGTGTGTTCTGCGCACAGAGCTTGTTTCAAAGGGCACCGCAACAGCTGGGCGAAGACGTGGGGAATTGTGATGGTGTTGCGAACTGTTGCGAAATGACTCTCGCCACCATCCGTGTTACTCGAGACAAATCTGACACCTTTTTGTCAGAGGCTCGTCAGGCGCAATACACGGACCAGAACGGTAACCGTGTTTGAACTGAACGGCACCGCATAAGTAGAAGTGCCCTCGTGGGAGGCTCCAACGCAACATTCCCAGTTCAACATTCTCCAGCGCAACTGTAAGGAATTTTCCTGAATTCCTTATCGGGGTTGACTGCTTCGCGTACAACCCGATTTTCGGAGTTGCACGTTCGGCCGATTTCAACGCTGCCGAGGCTCCTCGCGTCGCCTTCGGCATTTCCATCGCCCAACCTGCACCCAACCTCGCTTGTCCGAGGTTTCCTCCTAACTAGGCTAGCCCTACATTAGTCTGTGCATTCATTGTATTCGCAGTTGATTCAGTCACAGCCTCGTTATTCGTTTACCTGCGCACTCTCTTTTACAACTCATAACACCTGGTATCAGAGCTACTTTCCTAGTTCACCCCGCTTTTCGAGGGTAGTTTGGTGGCACGGGTGTGGTTGGTTTAGTGACTACACGACGGTTGGTTGCAGGGATTGTTAATTCAATCCTGCCCGACTCCGATAGTTCGTGTTTTCACTTGCCGGGAGGCCACGGGTACCCGACTGCCCACCAGACGTAGTGCTAGGCACATGGATCAGGAGGCTGTTAACCGGCTGATGGCGCAAGTGGCAGAAATGAAGCAGGGCATGGAATCATTAATGGCGGAAGTGACAACGTTACGGGAGGAAAACGCCGAGCTACGCCAGACGCGAGGTGAAGCGCGTCAGGAGTCGCCTGTGGACGAAGGCGAGGGCAACAGTCAAGCGATGAGCAATCCGCTGGATGCGCTCACACGTGACTTCGAAGAAGAAGATAGGCAGCGAGCGGCAGCAGCGCCAGTTGCAGTGACGACGATCAAGATAAAGCCCGCCAACCCGCCCCCGTTTAATCCTACGGACAAGACGGTTACGGTAAAAGGGTGGTTGTTCGGGGTCGAAGTCTTTTTTACTGCAGCCGGAGTTAATGACGACGCCACGCGTATTAATTACGCGGTTTCGCTTCTTCGAGGTGCAGCGCTTGAATGGTGGCGCCGGACCTTGGAAACAGGGACGCCGACAGGTGTGACACATGCGGCAGACGGGACCTCTACAGTGGTTAATCAAGTGGCAGAACCAATCTTCGGTGTGACCAAGATACGCACGTGGAAGGAGTGGGGCGCAGCCTTACGAGATCGCTTCGAGCACATATCCGCCTCGGAGCAAGCTCGCATGAAGCTGCGTGCATGGTCGCAGATGGCTTCTGTCCAAGACTACACAGCGTCATTTATGGGCTTCGCCGACCAAATTGACGACATGTCGGAAGCAGAGCGGTTGGATAAGTACGTCAGCGGCCTTAAATATGAAATACAGTTTGAGGTCCGCGGAAGCCGCCCGACATCGTTCTTCGAAGCAGTTCGAGTGGCGGAGTCAACTGATGCGCTGATGCAGTACGCGAGAGCAGCTTCCAGGGATGGGAGAAGCTTTCGTGGCCAGACCCATCGGGCCACGATCAACGCCGTCCATACACCCGACCGCCCTCCTAAGGGTCAGTGTTTTCGGTGTGGGAAGGTGGGTCACTACAGGAAAGACTGCCAGGAGAAAATGACGCTGACAGGGGACGACAGGAAGGAGCAGGGAAATGGGAAGAGTCAGTAATTAGCGGGCCCTTTACTGACTGTGCTCCGTCGCCCGAACACCATCATCCCCACCGAGTCTTGGTTCCGATTCATGCAATCGATCGCACTCGGCCGAAAAACGGGGATAATCATGTGGATCACCCTGTGCTGGTCGCTGGCAAGGTGTTAAAAAATAATTTGAAAATGTTCGTCGATGGAGGGGCCAGCCATAGCCTCTTCAATTTGGCGAGCGCAAAAAGATGCAAGCTGCAACTTGACAGGTGTCTGCCCGAAATCGACGCACGCCTCGTGGATGGGACGCCTCTGGCGATAACGGAAGAAACACGGACGGTTAGGATCGAATGCGGCGACGATTTCGGCTTCAGCATGAAGTTTCTCGCGACAACATTGGACGGCTGCGACGTGTTGCTGGGACGCGATTGGCTGCGACGACACAACCCCGTCATCGACTGGACAACGGGATCGTGCAGCATCAGCAAGCACGAGGGGCTAATTCGGCTGCCTGCATGGACACCTGACTACATCCAAGCCCCGTGCGTCAAAGCCATCACCATAGCTCGCCACTTCAACAAGGGCGCGTAGCTGTTCGCTGTCTGCTTACGCGAGTTGGCAGTCGACACCGACGGAAAGGACATTGAGAAGCTGTGTGCAGCTGTACCTCCGGATTTAGCGGAGCTGATTCGACAGTACCCCGACATTTTCCCGGACGACCTGCCACCTGGGCTGCCACCCGAGAGACCAGAAGACCATAAAATCCAGCTGGAGCCTGGCGCGCAACCGACGGTTCGAACACAGTGGCGGTTGACCCAGCCGGAACTCGAGGAGCTGCGCCGACAAATTGACGCACCGTTGGAGAAAGGGTTCATTCGGGCGAGCACCTCCCCGTTCGCGGCACCGATCCTGTTCACTCCGAAGAAGGACGGTGGGCTTCGCATGTGCATCGATTATCGCGCGTTGAACCGGGTGACCATCAAGTCTCGCTACCCAATCCCACGCACCGACGACCTTCTTGACCAGCTTCGCGGCGCTCGTTACTTCTCGAAAATCGACTTACGCGGCGGTTACCACCAGATTCGGGTCTTCGCCGACGATTGTCACAAGTCCGCGTTTCGCACACGCTACGGGAGTTACGAATTCACGGTGATGCCTTTCGGCCTCACGAACGCGCCTTCAACATTCCAACTGACCATGAACAGGGTTTTTCGGGATCTTCTAGACCGATGCGTCATCGTCTATTTGGACGATATCCTCATTTTTAGCAAGACACGAGAGCAGCACCTCCGTGACCTGGATGCAGTGTTTAAGCGGCTGCAGGAGAACCGACTCATCACCAAGGGCTCTAAGTGCGAGTTTTTTAAGCAGGAGTTGGAGTTTTTGGGGCACGTCATCTCACGCGACGGCATTAAAATCGACCCGGCGAAAATCAAGACCATACAGGAGTGGAAGTCCCCGACGAATGTCACGGAACTCCAGAGTTTTCTCGGATTCGTGAATTACGTCAGGCGGTTTATCCCGAATATGGCGGGGATAACCGGCCCGCTGACCGACCTGCTGCACAAGGACAGGAATTTTGTGTGGGGGGAGGAGGCAGAAGCGGCTTTCCAGGAACTCAAGAACTTTCTAGTTTCCCCTCCTGTGCCGCGCATCGCCGACCCATCGAAGCCGTTCGAAGTCGTCACCGACGCCTCAGATTTCGCCATCGGAGCTGTGCTACTCCAAGATTTCGGGAACGGGTTGCAGCCGATAGCCTACGAATCACGCAAGCTGCAGGCGGCTGAACGCAACTACCCGATCCACGACAAGGAGATGCTCGCCATCATACACGCGTTTAAATTATGGCGATGCTACCTGATGGGCGCCGACGTTACTGTTCGCACGGACCACAAGTCCCTCCAGTACCTGCGAGCCCAACCCAATCTCAACCCACGACAGATTCGGTGGCTGGACTACATGGAGAGCCACTTCACCTACCGCATCACGTACAAAAAGGGGGCGAATAACATCGCAGACGCCCTGACCCGACCGACAGTACAATCCGCTGCAGTACTCATCACCCACTCGAACCCGTTACTTACCGGACTATTTACCCACGGCTACACTACGGACCCATTCTTCACGACGGGAAATCATCGGCAGGCTACGACGCAGAAAGGGGACTATTATCTAAAGGCCGGAACCGACCGGATTTGGGTCCCCGCTTACAGGCTGCTGCGTGAACTCCTTATCCAAGAGGTCCACGATTCGAACTTCTCCGGACACTTCGGGGTTGACAAAACCCAGAAACTACAGCACCGTCAATATTATTGGCCTGATTCCTCTAACGACGTGCAGCGCTATGTGTCCTCATGCAGGGTGTGCCAAGCAATGAAATCGACACGTCAGCGGCCAGCTGGACTGCTGCAACCCCTCGAGCCACCCGAACGACCGTGGCAGCAAGTGACGATGGATTTCGTCACGGGGATGCCAGTTGGGCCGTTCGGCAACGACGCCGTTCTCGTCGTCGTCGATCGCTTCACGAAAATGGCGCACTTCGCACCATGCCGAACGACAATCACAGCCGAAGAAACTGCGCGCCTCTTCATCTCAACGGTCGTGCGACTGCACGGCATCCCTTCGGCGATCATCAGCGACCGAGACCCGAAGTTCACATCAAAGTTCTGGAAGGAGACGTGGGCGCAGTACGGCACGAAGCTACAGTTCTCATCGGCATATCACCCACAGACGGACGGTCAAACCGAGCGGACCAATCAGACCATGGAGCAGCTGATCAGGACAAACTGCCCCGACCCTGCCCGCTGGGAAGACTCCCTCGCAATGTTGGAGTTCGCCTTCAACAACGCACCGTCCAGCACGACTAATCACTCCCCGTTTTTTCTAAATTACGGGATGG